CACTCTTCCAGATAGAATTGTAGACGAGCATTGCATGTGTAATATCTGTAGTTCCAGTTTCACATTTTGGCCACATTTAGATTTCCCAGTGGTACATGGAAAGAAACCAAGGCAGTCCCTAATATGAGTTTTTTTCTTTTTTATATTTTCCATTTTAAGTAAAGTAAAAACAGCAGTTTTACTGGTTAACTGAAAAGCCTTTGCACATGAGGTTGAAATGCATTTAATGGCTTCATTGAAGAAGCCACCATCTTCACAATTTATTTAAACATGCTTTATGTGTATGCTGCACTGAAATATTGTGACTTGTCTTCTTTTCACTTTCTTGGATTTCAAGAAAATGTTTAAAAGTTATCTTCTAATAAGCTGGACAATGGCTCATGCCTATAATCCCAGCAATTTTGGAGCCTGAGGTGGGAGGATAACAAATTTGAGACCAGCCTGAGTAACATAGAGACCTTGTTTCAAAACAAAAAATAAAAGGGCTAGGATGCAGCTCTGTGGTTCAGTCTACAGTACCACTTAAACAAACAAAGTTAATTATTATAATTGTTTTATAATGTAATATGATTGCCCTTATTGGAGCAGAAATTTATTTCAACTCAAATAATCATTGAATGGCTATTCTTACTCAGTTGGTACAAGGAAAGAAGGAGAACATAAAAAAGTAATAATTTGAATAAGTAGCTTGGAAATAGACTTACATATAGGGGTGATCATTAGAAAGTAAAACTGTGGAGTAGATTGAAGAACATGAGATTTAAAAAACAAACAAACAAACAAAAATCCCTCCATAGGCCTTCCCCCTATCCAACTACCCACCTACCATCCGACAGACCTTGAGGTTCAGGAGGAAAGAAATTATTAAGTATGTAGCTGAATCTCTCAACTGGTTGCTTCATATGTTTCTAACTTTTAAAACTTTGAGGATTAGATAAAGAGATAATGGAGGCAGGATCATTGGCATTTGTTCATTAGGTTGTAAAGGAAGAAATGAATGCTGTCCCTCATTGCTTTTCCCTTATGGAGCTCAATACTGCTTCAGAGCTGAAGGAAGGGAGAGATTTCCTTGGAAGAGTCTCTGGAACCCACCCATCAGCTGGAGTTTTCCTGTGCATTGTTGAAGGCTGACTGTGGCTTGGTCTAGAGTCATACATGGGATGCTTTGTTGCTACCTCCTTTGTGACAGTTGAAAGACTTTCATAGTCAGGGAAGCTTTAAATAATGTCAATTCAGACCTTCATAACCCCCGAAGGGACATAGGTCAGCTGGCTCAGGAAGGTAATTGTTTAAAATATGAGCTGTTATGACTGACACAATCTTCCTCTTTTCTGGCTGCCCAGAAGACTGGAGATCAGAGACATCCTTGGCAAGAAAGATCATGTGACCCATTTCCTTTTCATGCTAAGTAAGAGCCCTAAATGCAATCCTCCTTAGGAATTTCAGGGAAGACAGCTAAAAGTGCTATCTTTTTAATAAGCATATGGATGAACTAGTTATTTTCTTCCTTCATTTCCTTATGCATTCATCAAAGATGCACATGCATTTATCAAAGATACTAAGTGTAAAGCTTGCTGAGATGAGCACTGCTCTGCCTCCCAAGCAATTCACAGTCCAATAGGGGCAAATGATTTGGATACACACTCATCTATATAAGAGATTTAATATTCTTGTAACACACAAGCCCCTTTACATTACGTGTGCAAGGAAGAATTTTAGTTAAGTTTTAAAAGCTAATACCACTTGGGATGCTTCCACATTTTAGTCATAATGCATAATTGTGCTATGATCAGAGCTGTACAAATATTTTCTTTAGTTTCTGCAAGTGAGAACTTTAGCCATGTGATTTAGAATTGCCTATCTCTGGGTCAGTCCAAAGGTTTCAATGTGGCCATGTCTATACAGGCTTTTCTGCACACAAAAAATACTGTATAGGAAGGAATGGAGAGGCAGGGCGTAGCCCATAGCTGGCAAGCAGCCATTCGGAGAACTTTCCAATTGTCTATTATAATAAGGTGGTGGATTTGGTCTGCCATCTAGTGATTAAGAACTGAATTTTAATTAAATTTAAAAGCCTATAAGATTTATGAAAGACAAATCTATGAGAATATGAAACATACAGGACAATTGGGTTGATTTCAAATAAAATGTAGTGAGATGAAATACATCTTTTCTAGGGTATCAGTGCCAGGACTTTCATAGAGATGAAGTCATCATAGATTCAATTTGTTGAAATGTTCAGTTAGGGGAAAGAATCTTGTAGCTTGAAAGATAAAATTTGCAAGTACACAAACACGGAATTTACAAAATAAAGAAACTACTATCAGCTTTCTACCCGTCCTTCTAAATTTTGAAAAAGTTAACCAGAAATAGCAAAAAATACAAATAGGAAAAAACTGTTGGAGCTCTTTTTCATATTGTATGAAATACTTGTTTACACCAATACTTTAAGTAAATACATGTGTATTTTTTACTTTTGGGCCCTAGATCAAGGCTTCAGATGTCAGCTTGGGTTAATTTTATGATTTGGTTAGAGGACTCAAGAAGACAGTATTAAATTTCTGAGAATATTATGTGAAAATTTTCTTAGTTATTTTTATTTTACTGTGAAATATGTGAATTATTATGTCAGTACAACTTCATGCATTTTTTTTCAACAAATTGGCTACAATTTTGTTTTCTATTTTACTTTTCATTTAAACATCTATGTACAAAACAAAAGGGATGATCTAATCATATGGTACAAAACTACCATGTGGAATTGTGAAAGCTGCTGGACACCCTATATTTTCTACCCACTGTTTCTTTGCATGTGTCTTTCATTCAGACATGAACAGTGAGAGTTTGCTGAGTTTTCAAGCCCTCTGTGTTGTGTGTGGTTACTTACGTGGGTCAAGAGAAGGCAGTGAATGTGGTTTTTCATCTCTTTGCCATTTAAAAGCATTCCAACTAAATTTCCCCATCATCTTAAATTTAATTATAAATTTTCAGGGGAGAGAGACTAGAGATGAATCAGACTATAAAACTACCTTTTAACATTTCCATTTAAAGAAAGTAATACAGTAACCCATTTCTTTGCCCCTTGGGTTGAGGTCACCTTGTCCTAAATTTCCCGGAAGAAACTGCCTTTCTATGTGTTAGCACAGGACTGAGAGAATGTGTCTTTTTAATTCAACCCGGAAGGAGGCCAGAAGAACATCATTGAGTCACTCCCTGAAAGGTTTCCCACACACTTTAGTGATATCTACTTGTCAACCTTACTGCATGCCATATTGTCTTTGTTTTGTATATTCTCTATCCCCAATATCTATTTCATCAGTGATGTAGCATGTGTCTACATATGTCTCCAATGATCTTACATTTTATTATAATAATAAATTTTATACATTGAAATTTTAAAAATGTTAATTCTATTCAACTAATGTTAATAGATTATAATTTATGTATTATTTTTATTTATTACATAAATAAAAGTAATACTCCACAGTATAATATATGGCATATATTACTATTTTATATATATATTATAAACATTACATTTCACAATGGTAATACGTATTTTTGAGGACCTAACACATATGCTTTCAATATTTTGCATGTTCACTTCTAGACACTTACCCACTTACTTTTCCATAAATGTTTGTGAATGTTAACTCCCTTTCCCCACACCTGCTGCCACCCAGGATGTGGAAGGGAGGAACAAGCTAACTGTGCTTACAGTGTTTTTCATTTTTTAGACCGTGGTATTTAACACTTGTAAAGCATATGCCTTTCTCAATCATAAAGCTGAATGAACAGAGTTATTTTTAATTTAAAAAACTATGGATATTATCCTGCCCTCCCCGCCCCCTCCCTTTTTTTTTTATGCAGGTCATGTTTTTGGAAATATTTGTCATGGAACACTATGTTGTTTAAAAATGATTATTCAACTAATCATTGTGCTACTTATTTGATATTTACATTTCTCATTGATTTTCACAATAACCTTGCAGAAAAGCACATCAAAACATGAGTCCTCTTTTCCTCTTGGTTTTGATGCTTCTGATAGCATTGTGAATATACAGCCAATATTTTGTTTTTTAACTGTGTACCACATGGTAAAAGTCTTCTGATAATGACGTAACAGACTAGAAAGAGCGTCCTTCTTATAAAATAGCTTACAAACCGTGTATATGTAGTATTGTGCTTTGAAATGATTTTCATTTGCCAAATATCTCTCATGATAGAACAAATATATGAAGCGAAGTATTCCATAAAGCACTGAGAAAAATGTTTTACTGGTTTTGTTGATAAGTATAATTGATAAATACAAATTGTATAGGCATGTTCTTGGATTAACATGGCTATCCTAACTGTAAGTAATTTTCATTTAGTTCTGCATTATCATTTGAGTATATTTATATTCCAAATGATATCTTTCAAAAATTGATTATGAATATACATTTAAATTTTATTTTTTCACAGTCCAAAGTTAATACTGTGAGATTAAGTTAGCAAACCATTATGTCAGGTTCATTCCACTGCCACAATTTTCCTATGTACATATATAAAAACAACACATTGAATCCCACAATCATGTACATCCATAAGAATGGAATTCTAACTGGATAAGATATATTCCATACTTGTATAATCATATCAAAATGGATTCTATTGTCGTTCATAACTAAAAAGAACCAATAAATTAAAAAAGCACAAAAATAAAACAAAAGTCTTATTAAAAAAAAATTAGCGAGCCATTATTTAGATTCCCTCCTTCCAATTCCATTTGAGAAATGTTGAGTGGAGGTTCTTCTAAAGATGTAGTGCTAAGCATTGGAAATGCCTTGAGGAACAAGGTACTCCTGGTCCACAACTATATGGTGTTTATTATCTAGTGGAGGACATAAGAAAATAAAGTGAAAATAATTTAGATCATTCTAATTGTAGGAAAACAATGAGTAGCTGAAATTCCAAAATTTCAGATTACTAACCTCCTTTTTTTTTTCTTTTTACTTTAGATGAATTTCTTTATGAAGAGACCTGCAATCAAAATGGCCATATATTCTTAGACAAGGACATTTGGAAGCCTTCTCCTTGTGATATCTGTGTCTGTAACAGAGGACATATTCTCTGTGAAAAGATAGAGTGTGTGGAAGATCTCCCTTGTGCTGATGCTGTGATTCCCCCTGGGGAGTGCTGTCCTTACTGTCCAGTGGTATCTGGAGGTGGAAACACCAATTTTGGTAAGAATGCTCAGGGCCAGATGAGAATCGATTCCATGAGTCATCTTTCTAGTTTCAATGTTCTTTGCTCTCAGGGTTCAACAATCCAAGAGAATAAAGTAATTTATACAGTGGCCTCTGGGGGTTATGATTTTTCTTGCCTACCTGCTTACTTTCATATTATGTAGAAGCAGACAGTAATTTCCTGTCTTTATAAATATGCAGAGAAATTCTTTTGCTGAATTTTGAGTGATTATGTCCAAATTAAGAATTCCTTGTACCTCTTAAGATGGACATTTGTTACCATATTCACAATGGATGCCTCCAAGAAAGTGTTTTTTTTTTTCTTTCTTTCTTTTTTTTTTTTTTTTTTTTTTGGAGGTGGGAATTGAACCCAGGGTGCTCAACCACTAAGCCCTTTTAAAATATTTTATTTAGACACAGGGTCTTGCTAAATTGCTTAGGACCTTGCTAAATTGCTGAGGCTGGCTTTAACTCATGATCCTCCTGCCTCAGCCTCCCAAGAGGCTGGGATTACCAAGAGCCATGTGCCAGTGCACTCGGCAAGTGTTTGGTTTTCTGCAAAATCCTTTAGTGCCCAAGAAGAGATCTAAAAAAACACATTTATCTTCCTAGGTACCTGTGCTTCTATAGGACATAGAATAATTATTCCTAACATAATTTAGATGTTTGTTCAAGGTACATTATTACTATTGAATGATAATGAATTTTTGCCAGAGTACTTCTGTTATATTGACTCGTAAATGAACCTGCTTTTTTATGTTGCCAAAAGAATGGAGTGGATTTCTAAAAGAAAAGAACAATGTAAATTGCTGGTTTTAAAAACATTTTTGAATAAAAAGTATATGTGTTTAGCAGATTGTATGTATTTGATTAAGAATACATATGTTAAGGAGATTTACACATAAGGAAAATAAGTTCATATTTGTCTTTTCATGAACTAGGTAAGATTGATTTTACATTTACCTCTTCTCCTCTTGGTTATCGTTCAATAGTAACAATGTACCTTAAACAAATACCTAAATTCAGTTTTCAGCACTGTGATAAAATAAATTATAGGAAGAATTTAAAAAAAAAGACATATTTGGGCTACCTGAAGCATATACAGTCTTCAAACAAGCCCAGAAATGAAGTAAACCTGTGGGATAAGTGATAAGTCCCCCTTTACTAGTGAGGATGATGGTGGGAAACATCAGATGTCGGCACAACATACAACTTCCTAAGAATAGCTGGTCTGGAAAAGTGTAATGAGTTTTAAGATAAATGATGAAAAACTCCTGAAAACAGTTTTATATAAATAAACTATGAGTAAAAAGGAAATTGAGTTCAGTTAAATCTGAGAACAAGAACACACTGGTAAATGTGATACATAGACAAGCTGAAGAATATACTTTACATATAAAGAAATTCTAGATATAAAAATTAAAATATCAATGATATTTTCCCCTGGCTATATCTTCAGCCTCAGTGTGTTTTAAAAGTAGAACAAGAGGGGCTCGGGGATGTAGCTTAGCAGAAGAACACTTGCTTAGAATACGTGAGGCCTTGGGTTTGATCCCCAACACTCAAATTAAAAAAAGAAAAAAAAAACACATAAATATAGGACAGGAAGAACTAACAATTTTTAGCAATGGTCCTTCAATATGACAACATTCAAAAATTTCTTATAATCAAATAATTGTAAATTAAAAATGTACTATCATATTTTAAATATCAGATTAACCCAAATCAGTATGTTTGCTTGCACACTACATAATGCCTGTGAGAAAATATGTGCACTGATTGTGGGAGTACAAAGTAGTCAACCTGTATAAAAGGAATATTGGTAATATATCTAATTATAAAGGCTTATACTCTGGGACTCAAAAGGGCATTAGGGAGTTTATCCTACAAATATACTTACATGTAACCATGTATATAACCATTATTTGTTATAGCATTATTTATAATAGAATGACTGTCTATCCAAGCTTGCCTGTGAAAACCCCAGATTGTACCAACCTTCCTGGCATAGTAAATATTAAATAATAACTCCCTCCTTCATACTTCAAACTGTCCTAGTTAAGTAATAAATTAGCAAAAGACTAGAAACAACACACATATCCAACATATCAAGGAAATGTCAGTTTAATAGATTCTATTATGTAAATTTACACAATGGAACCCTGAAATATTTTTGATAAAAAACAACAAGGAAACAATTTATTTATCTGCAAAATTCTCTAATATTTAAATAGCTATGAGATATACAGACAAGTGAAAGATAGTATTGAAAAATAGGAAGAAGAAATTTTTATATATGTGAGAAGAAACTTGAAAACAATATGCTAAAAAAAGTGACTTCTAATGGAGGGCAAAAGAGAAATAGAGAAGAGATGATGGAACAGAAGGTTTTTCATTGTGTAACTGGACACTTTTAATACATGTTTGTGTTTAAAACATGAATGAAAAACTTTATTCATTAAATAGGCTGAAAACAATAGAGAACATTGATTATAAATAATTCCTAATAACTTTATAAGGAATTTTCTAATTCAGTTAACTTTAAATGTCACATAAATGATGTGAAAAATATCAACATCATGTCAGAAAGAGGATGCATTGTTTTGCTTTTGGTGGAAATACTGATTCATAACAACTTTTGAGTTCTGCTTACTGGTATTAGGACAATTTGTTTATATTAAATTCTGAGTGCACAAAAATCCTATTAAATATTTAGCATGTTCTCAACAATTGTTTCTCCACAAAATAATGTGTTTATTCTTTTCTTTTTATAGGCAGAGGAAGAAAGGTGAGTTTTACTCTGCATGTTTCTTTTTTTTAAGCAGAATTCTTTCTACTACTGTCCACATAGAACTGTGCTCTGAAATGGGTGAAAACCTTTTGTAAAGTACAAAAAACGATGCAAATTCGTTGTGAAAAATAATTGAGCACAGTCCAGCTACTATGCTTATAGGCTACAAATGATTCTGTTACAGTTAGTTTTTGTTCTTATATCTGTTTCTGCCAGAAAGTTGTGAACTCTACAGGCACTGAGAATGTGTTTTATCAAGCTTTGTACTTCTTGTACTTATCACTATTCTTAGTGTATGTTTTACACACATGAGAAGCCCAATACACATTTGATGGAAGAGAGGAAGGAAGAAACAGGAGGATGAGATAAAGGAAGGAATAAAGAATGTTAGTTCTACTTTGGTGGAGTTGTGGCTCCTTTTTCATGGTTTGAAAAGTTGAGAAGCTGAAAAATTTGAGAAGTTTGAAAAATTTTGAGAAGTTGAAAAAAAATGTTTAAGAAGATGAAAAATTTACCAAAATACATAGCTTACTCTCTTCTGCCTTCGCTGCCTCCAGGGAGATTAAACTCTAATCCTGGAGAGGAGCTTCATAGTCATGAAGACCAAGGTGGGAGACACTCATAACCCTCGTACAGTGGACCAGCATGGCCACACTGGTCATCAGGACACAATCTCATCAAGTTCCTTTCCCCTTGTCTCTGCTCTCAGCTTCCTAGTTTTCTTAAAAAGTTGTGGTATTTGCTTCAGTCTTATCCAAATATGATTGCCCCAGAAATCAAGAATGTAGAAATGAGCAATGACTTCAATTTTCATGGCAGATATCAGACAGATGACAAGCTGATCTACATCTTATTTACTTTTGCACAGAATGGAACTTAAAGTGCTTTATCAGATAATCAGATAAAGTAATGCTATAGCTTCATGATCAATGAGAATGATGTTGTCTGGGGCATAGGCCAGACAACTTGGCACTTTTTAGTTTAGAGAGAAATAACACAAAAGTATATTACAAGTAAAGTAAACACAAGTAAAATTATTTTTATTTGAATATTTATCATAGAAGAGAGAATACCTATACTTACTCTATTTTATATATGAAAGCTAGAATAAATTGAAACTTAAAAGATTGACATGGGATTTAAGCAAACTAGATAGATGAAAGATAGATGGAAAGATAAATGACACGTAGATAGATTCATCTATGAAACAGCAAAAAGAAAATAATAACAAAGTAAGAACTATCTGTAATTACTAACTGTTTGGTTAGAAATTACCCAGCTTACTGAGAGGCATCTGGTAGGCTTGTCATCCACACCCTTCTCTAAAAGCAGTGTGGGACAGCTGGATGAAGGATATGCTCAAAGTAGCTGCCATTCACCATACTCACAATATGTGCCGCTATGTGGCTTGCCTGATTTCATTTATCAGGTGTGATCAGAAACAGCAAAGTTGAGCAATGCTATAAAAATTCAGTGTGTTCTTGGTTTATATCCATATTGATTTTTACTTATGATTCTTATTCACTCATTCAAGTTAATCCCAATTACCGAGCCTTTTAAAATGTCTTTTTATGAGGCAAATAATACAGATGAGGTAACAGTGGGAAGAAAAACACCATTTCTGCCTCTGTGGTGAAGACATCCTATGACAATTATGAAATATATCTACATGTTATTAGTTGATCAGTGAATATAATTCTCATCTAAAATCTGAGTAAACTTTTTGTTTCTCAGTGAATCTGAAAATTAAATTCTGTAAAACTTTAGACAAATCCTCATTTCAAATAAAATAATGTATTCAAAACCCATATTAATAAAAACAGTGAAGATTAATATTTATATCTTGTGGCTTATATCCAAAACAAGAAGTTCATGAGATCATTGGGAAGTTTATTATCAAAAATTGGTAATTGAGAACTTAATGTTATTATGGAACAATGGAATGCTTATGTAATGTATCAAAAAGCCTACTGTTTACTTAAAACATATATCAGAGAATTTCATAACCTAAATACAAAGCAAGAGTAAAATCTGTAATTTGCTTGTGGGTTTCTTAGAATGGAAATTTTACCACTATCTTCTCAGGCTCATTTTTTCCCCCCTCTTTGCAGTTGTTTTTCTAGACTTATTCCAGAAGGAACTTTTTTTTTTCAATATTGTTCTTATGAAGTTCTTCATTCAGTGAATACAAATTATATGTACCCTTTCTAAGCAAACCAAAATGATTCATCATTTCAAAGAAATCTCTTTCTATATATATGGAATGCCAGGATGTTAACAGTCATTATCTCCTGGGTATGGAGGAGGATAGTTTTTACTATATATTTTCTCTACTTTCAAAAATTCCCTTTTATGAACACATATAAATTTTAATTAGACAAAAGAATAACATGTGAAAGGAAGAAATTAAACACACTAAAGCTCCTTCACTGCATTTTGGATGTGTAATTGTTTAATTCATATGCATGCACTCTCCCCAATTGTCCGATGAAAGAAATTATTTCATAGAGAACTTCTATGTGCCAGACTGAAAATTTAGAATAAACTAAGACAAAATACTGGCCTTCAGGAGAATAAAATCTCTTTTTTTGTGGGGTGTGGGTTATGGGAGATTGAACTCACGGGCACTCGACCACTGAGCCACATCCTCAGCCCTGTTGTGTATTTTATTTAGAGACAGGGTCTCACTGAGTTGCTTAGTACCTTGCTTTTGCTGAGGATGACTTTGAACTTGTGATCCTCCTACCTCAGTCTCCTGAGCCCCTGGGATTATAGGTGTGCTTCACTGTGCCCAGCTATAAAATCTCTTTGAAGACAACTCCTGAAATAAATAATATGACTTAATATGTGATAAAATTGAATATAAAGGTATAACTCATCCAATATTATCCAAACTGCGTGTCTGATATCATGCAATGTGTGTATAAATTTTGAAATTCTGAAGTTCTAGGAATCAAAAGAAATTTCATCTCTGTTATTTTTGCTACCTCTGTTCTGAGAGCAAATAAACTGACTTGACTTTATGTAGTTCAAGTTATGATAGTCCCGTGTTATTTTTATTTTCTTATTTGATTGATGTTTCCATAACTGCACTTTTGCACTTTTATTTTTATCAAGTTAGCACACTTTTTCTCTTGCTATTTTAAATATTTTTCCATGAGTTCTACAAAAGGAAAGCAAGTGGCTCAGGAGTAGCATCTCACAAGTTACTGGAAACCATATATATGTTATACACTAAGAGAGTGAAATTCAAGTATACAAACATTTCTGTATTTTCCTGTGTATCTTTAACTTTTGGGTGGTTTGTTCATTGGTTCTTTTTTTTTTAAACATTTTTCATCACAGTTATTTCTTGCTCTCATTGATTCTTTGGATTTGATCCTGGTAAAAACTGAAGGGAACCAACTTTATATCTTTCAAACATGTTTGTATTAATTTTTTTCATGTCCTTCAGATGAGTAGTAATTATTTTCATGAATAATATCTGACTAAGTACCCAAAATATAGATTGTTCATTTTCTTTTCTCATGTCATGTTTTACATTTCTTAGAAATCCAGAATGTTCGTATGGCTTATTCTGATATTACATATTCATACCCAACAAGACATTATAGTGTACTGACTGAAATTTTTCTCCCCACTTCTTAGGGTCAAAAAGGAGAACCAGGATTAGTGCCTGTTGTAAGTATACATATATACATTGTTTTCAAATATAACTATAATATAGTTGTATATAATTTATTCCTCTCAAAAAAGGAAATTGTTTTATAACTAAACTTTTAGTACTACACAAGCAAGCCAAAAGAGATGAATTAATGCAATATTTAATGATCCGTATTTACCTTTTATAATCCTATGACAAAAGGTACAAAAATATAGTTTTGTACAATTCAGTATACTGCATGAATATAGATATATATTGATAGTTAATATTAGTATTACTATAATAGTTTAATATTATTATTACTATAGTTCCACACTTTGGGAAATATGTGATGTTTTGATCCTGATTGAAATCCCATTTTATGTAATAATTCTTACCACTTCTTTACTTATTGATGATCAAAAAATATATTATCAAGTAGGATAAAAGTTCTTCAATCACCATTCTTACTAATTTTAAAGGTGTTATAATCTGTCAGGACACAAAATTATATACATTGATTTATTTGGCAGTGTTTGAATTTTTGCTTTTCTTTTAGATCTGCTAATTTTTCACAAAGATTGCCTAAAAATAGTCATTTAAATCATTTTTGCACTTATGCGTATTTACTGTCTTTGGTTCTGAATGTTCTACAAATGTTTATTTAAGATGCATTTAAGGAAACTTAAGTGTTGAGAAGGTAAGTAATCATTCAAAGTCAGAGCAGGTGGTAAGGAGTTGTGTCAGGATTTGAACACAGCACTCTTGGGTCTGGCACTGGTACTCTTAATCACTATAGCAGTACTGCCTCCGATATTGGAATTTAAATATCTCAACTGATAAAGCTAGGAGGAAATGATATCAATTGATAGCATCAAGTTGTTTTAATAGGATTCGTGGTGCTTTTGCCCTTTTTTTTTTTAGTTATTCCTGTTTGTGACTATTGACTTTTCTGAATCTTGGTATAAAATTTATAGATTTTCTTGTTTATTGTTTAGGTAACAGGCATACGAGGTCGTCCTGGGCCTGCAGTAAGTAGTTTGCTTCTGTATTTATGATACTATTGTGCTTTCCGAGATACTGAAAATCTTTGTTAACATTCAAATTATTTTTCAAAGGTAAATGTGACAGATCTTGTTATACTCATCACTTCAAACAGTATTTTTAGTAATCCTTAAGGTTCTGTGTCCCACAAGCTCTCATCATATGTAGAAGGAATCAAGCTACAAATAATCATCATCTTTTGATGTAACAATGACAATATCCTGGTGAACAACAGTACTATTAAATGTCTTTACTGTGCAGATGCTCCTCAATGTACAAGGGATTATGTTTCAATAAATGCATAATGCATATGTAGAAAATATCATAAATTGAAAATGCACTTAATACATTGGCCTACTGAGCACCCAAGCTTGGTGCAGTTTGCTGTGAGATATATGATGCTCCTCTTGTGATCATGTTGCTGACTGTTGCTGTCCAGGATCATCAGAGGGTATCATACCCTACAGCACCAGCCCAAGAAAAGATCAAAAGTATCTTTTCATCAAGATACTGGAAATCTTTACAGATATAATATCCACGTGTAAAAAAATGATATTTAATTTCTTGAAATGATTTGCCTTGAGCCATCTTCAAGTTTAGGCATTCCTTCTCAGTGAGGAATGATACATAGGATATAACTTAATTGCAAAATTGTTGAAGTTGATGTCTTCTCATGTGTTAGTGTTGCTTGTCGGTTATGTGAAAGACAAAACAATCTACTATTACATTATTAATTTTAGATTGACCTTGTTCATCAAAACCAGATCATACATGTCTATTGTTGAACCATGATCAGAGTGGACTACTTTTACCTACTTAAATCATATATTAATATTGCTGCAGAATTTGACTAATTATATATCAAAATAACATTTTTATTTTGCATTCAAGACTATTTCTGTTTTGTTTAGAGTTAACTAGGTGGATAACACCCCCCTACACATATATTTTAAGTTAAATATTAGTACAACTTTAACATACCCTCTGTAATTCTTCAGAAGCTTTTGCTTCTAGACATACTTTTGAATTGGCCATGGTGGCATGCACTTATAATTTTGGATACTTTGTAGGCTGAGGCAGAAGGATAGTTGGTTCAATTCGGTCATTTGGGACCAGGCTGGGCATCATAGCAAGACCTTGTCTCTCTCACAAAAAAATAAAAATACAAATTAAAAATTTTAAAATTATATATACAGACACACGTATATATATTATATTATATATGTGCATATATGTATACACATATGTATATATATATGTGTGTATATACACACATATATGTGTGTGTATATATAAATATATATGAAACAAGAACAAACAATGCCATTTGGTGAACTGGGTAAATGTGGAATCTAATCTTCATAAATCTATTAAAATTATCCTTCAAAGAGAAATAAAAACCACTGGCAATTTTATTTCCCTGAAACAAAAACAATCAACCAAAAAAAAAAAACTATTTTAAGATATCAGTACAATAAGACCACTTTTGAAGTACAATAGTCATTTATTATTTTAAGGGAGAGATGACAACAATTATGATATGGAAAATTAGAAGTAGGTCTTAAATAAACAATGGAAATGATATAATATTTAAAGTTAAGTGAAAGAATGATGTCAATGTATATAAAATAATAGCAGGCTAACTGGCTGTTCTTTGTTTTGCTTTCTTCAGCAACTTGAACAGTGATGAACAATTTTGAGTATAATATACCATTTTGGATTTATATACTCACCTAGATAATTGATAATTTTTCTAAATCTGAACTGTAACTTTCTGTGCTCAGAATTTAATGGCAAAAGCTTTACCTAGTAGATGATAGCAAAAATGATTTTTAAAAATTTGTAATTACCAATCAAGCTAATGTATTTAGCTTATTGAGCTCCCTGGTGCTATAATATGGTATTAATTCTTTAAAGACCTTCAACTTCACAGCTAAGATAAACAGTCTTTCTATGTATACAGAATTTCTATAGGTGCATGGCTTTGTTCGCCAGTCTTCAACCGCCCTGAGTTAAAAATGTGAGGTTTCCATTTTCCAATTTCATTTAACAAGTCTTTAAAACAAATACGTTCAAAGATAAATGTTTACATACCTAATCATCATTTCTGTTTCAGGGACCTCCAGGATCCCAAGGTCCAAGAGGAGAGCGAGGCCCCAAAGGAAGACCTGTAAGTTGACAAGGAGCTTCCTTTTTGTAAAGTGTTCTAAGCAGGCCCCTCTATGCCATGATCCTGAGGGTGCAAAGGGCACTCTTCTTCTGCTACATACATTAAAAATTGCAAAAAGCTCAGGTCATGAAGTGATTGCATAGCTCTCTTAATTCAGAAGAAATTAGTATGTATTAATTGCTTTTTATCTTATTAAATAATCCGAATGATATTTTTATGTCCTTTGTGATGTCAAATTAAAATAAATAAAATTTAAGGAAACATCGTTAAACATATCATATTGTTTTCAGAAGTTGTCAGTCATGAATAAACAATGCTAATAACTTACTGTCAAGATAAAACATCCAAATTCTGTGATCTATAGCTGCTGTAAGAATAATGAAACTGGACAGAGGAGGAGAATTAGGAAAGAATAAAATGCACCTTCAAGTGGTTGCACATTGCTTCCCAGGTAGCACTTTGCATTTTTAATTGAGTAGCTGCTACAGGGATATCAAGGAATAATTTTAAAAATCAACAGTTCTATTACCAGAAAATGGGGATACCTTTTAAATTAAAATAATTACTTCTATACCATTGAGATAAAACATGAGAGTATTTTATATTATTAAATTTTTCTCTCATTAGCAATCTGTACAGAATATTTATTATTCTAAGTCTTAGGTGTACAATTCTTTCTTATATGTTACCCCAAATATATAATGTCTTTCACAAATTGAATAACTGGATTAATATATGTATTGCTGTTATTATCCCACATTTCCATCAGAAAAAAATAGGTTGCTTAATTTTCTCTCTGATGGTGTCTACTAGAACTTAACTCTCAATGTGTTTCTATTCATTTAAGTATGTATTTACCTGTATCTAAATGGGAGGAAATAAGCAAGGAAGCAACAGACAACTTTGAATATATGAATAAGGACAAAATTTGTATCATGTCTCTGGGCACTTTTGCTGCTGGCTTCATCTTGTTACTGTTTTATGGTTCTACACGTGTCCAAGTGCAGGTGGAAGTTGCTCTAAGAATAATAGATCAGACTTCCAAAGTTCCTTGTAGTATCCAATGAGTCTACTCCTCAACCTTCTTGTTTTTCTTCTCTTCCCTCCTTAGTATTTGATGTAGTTCATTTCTTTTCTTAATTAGGCCTGAGACTTAGTATTTGATGTAGTTCATTTCTTTTCTTAATTAGGCCTGAGACAGTCAATGCTAATTGGGTATGAGTGTGTGTGTGTGCGCGCGCACGCGTCTGTGTGTTGTGTATGAGTTTGTGAGTGGGAAAAGAGTGGAAAGTAGTTATTTAGGAGAAAGCAAGATAATCTTGACAGATACTCAAGCAGGGCATCTCTTCCTCTTTTAATTCTAGCAGGTAGTGTTTTGATGGCAAGGGTTTAATCATTGGTTGTCTTTCAAACTAAAAAAAAAAAAATGTTTGTGACTTTTGCTGATATCCCCAGTATAGATACTCTTACTACTCTGACTGATTTCCAGCTACCAGCATATCGCAAATTACCCATAGGCAGAGTGTTTTGCTTCAGTTTTTAAATCTTCTAGAAACTGATTCACTGGACTGAAGTTATCGCTGTGACAATATGGAGTGGTATTAGCATCATAATACCCCAATTTTAAAAAATAGTACTGGGGATACAGCAGGACTCTTCTACCGAGCTACATTTCCAGCCCTTTAATTGCTGATGAGGCTGTTGGGGGGAAAAGGTACACTTTTACATTGTCAGTGGGAATGCAAATTAGTATAACCACTTTGGAAAGTAGTAAAGTGATTCTTTAAAGGACTAGCAATGTATCCATCATATGACCCAACTATTCCACTCCTTGGTATTTATCTGAAAGATCTAAAATCAGCATATTATAGCAATACCTGCACTGTTTATAGCAGTGCAAGTCACAATAGCCAAATTATAGAACCAGCCTAAGCACCCATTAACAGATGAATGGATAAGCAAAAGTAGAGTATATATACAGTATGGAGTAATTTTACTCAGTCATAAAAGAATGGAATGTCATTTGTGGGAAAGTGGATGGAACTGGAGAACACCACTCAGACTCAGAAAATCAAGGGTTGAATGTTTGCTCCCACATGCAAAAGCTAGAGAGAAAAAGAGGGGAAAAAAGAAGAAAACCTCATGAAAATCGAGGGGAGACTAATAGAGTTAAGGAAGGGGATGTAGACGGAAGGAGGAGGGGAGTGAGTGGGGAAGCACTGGAGACTGACATCTACCAAATTATGTTAGGTCTATGTATGCATATTCTATGATGAACCATATAATTATAATGCGCTAAGTATGACAATCACAATAATAGAAGAGAGATCAATTGAGTTGAGCAAGTGAATAGGGGGAGGGAGGAATAGAGAGAAAGAGAAGGTACTAGGTAATGAGAGAAATCAAACTACGTGCACATACAAATATGACACAATGAATTCCACTATTGTTTATAGTTATAATGCACCAATAAACAAGAATAGTTAGTTAAAAGAAAAAAAAAAGAATCATGAATTCCATTTTTCTCCTCCTACTTCCATTATCATCAAACAGTTTAGAAGGCTTAAGTTGTGCAGCACAGTTTCTCAACCTCAACACTATTTATATTTTGGGCCAGGTAACTCCTTATTCATTGCAGGATATTTTGCAGCTTTACCCACTGGATACCATTAGCAACCCCCAAATCCCATCAAAATGTAACAATAAAAAGTCTCTTGATGTTGCCAAATTCAGGCAAAATTGCTCTGGGTTGAGAACTACTGGTATAGAGACACTCAGATGAAGCCTTTAGCACCAACCAACCATCAGCATGACTGTCTCTCATCACAAGCCCTTAGTTTTAAGTATACTGTCTAGGTAAGTTCACAGTGAAAAACTAGTAATAAACCTATCAGGAGATAGATAGTCAATGGTATACTGAATTCCAATTGCATGTGATACTTAACCTCATAGGTATCAGTTTCCTCATCTGTAAAATGGGAAATGTACTAACTACCAGATCAAAATTCTATAGTGTGTGTGTGTGTGTGTGTGTGTGTGTGTATGTGTGTGTGTGAGAGAGAGAGAGAGAGAGAGAGAGAGAGAGAGAGAATGTGTGAGCATGCACATGCATATGTCTGTGTGTGGCACTATTATCCAGCAGCAAATAAAATCAATGATTCTGGGTCATTAATATTTTTTCTCCTTGTGAATGTTTAAAGGCCGCCACCTAGTGGCCATCTACAAGTATTTTTTATTGCAGATTGCAGCCAGAGATATTAGTCTCTCGGGGGATGGGAGGAAATCATAATTAGAACATTTACCTTAATAAAAGAATTATGTAATTCAGTTCATTCTAAAATATAAAATGTGTTTTAATAGATTCACAACTTGTGATTTATTTGTTAATATTTATCAGTAAAATGCTCAATATTATATATTTTTTCTTATTCTTACATGCAATCTTCTTTATGTTCACTTTGGATAAGTTTCACTATTAGGTTTTTATTAGCTTTTATCTCAGTTTGTATACAAATAATACATGTATACTATTTAAAGTGAATTCTATGAAGGAATGGATGGGCCATCAATGAAAATGTGAGTTGTTTTCAGATGAGATTTTCAAAAGTATGAGAATAATTTTCCAAGAAATTATTTCTTAAAACGTAAAATTTTCAGACTATTTTTCTACTTCTACTTGAAAATATAAATTTTTTTTATCTTACTATTCCAAGAAATAAACATGTGTATATGAATACTTGGACACATTAAAATAGCTTAAACTACTTTATGAGTAGCTATTACACCATCCTCCCCCAAGTCATCATATGGGAACTGCCCTGGCCACCACCTCAGCTTGTCCTGCACTGTCTCTGACTGCATTATCATCTCATATGTGAACTGCTCCCTGTGGGCCAGTAGCTACTCTCAGTTAAGTATGAAAAGCTTCTTTTCCTATTAACTTCTAACTTGCTTTCCATATTTTTCTCAATCCCTGCTTTTAATGATAAAAAGCACACTGTCATAACTTCTTTGCTCCTTCTTTTCCTTTTAAAGCTTGTTAAGACTCTTAAGATGACAAACCAGAAAATACTTAACAAGACTGCTGAGACTGCTGAGGTTAGGGGTGGAGCTTTTTCAGAGCTGAGGACGTGGCTGTTCCCCAAGCTGCCTTCAGAATGTGGGCTAGAAGGGTGGAATTTGGCAGCTAGAAATCATTGCTCACTTTCCTGAGGCCTGGACTTGACCCAATCATGGTGTCTTTGCCTTTGTTTTCTCATTGGTCTAGTCTACCTCTCGCAGTAGGAAGGAAAATAAAATATGCCAGAATGGAAATGCTAAAGAAGAATGACATATGAAAATGTATTTCACATGTATCGAGTGTCTATTATACACTGGAAACTCTGTAAAGCATTAAACAATTAGATGGAAAAACCCACAAACTCCAATGAAGGGGCCCTTACATTTTTGAAGGGTAGAGTAGTAAAGAAGTTTAGCAGACACATACATACTTAACTGTAATCTAAGAAGAATGAATTTAGGAATTGGTGATTAAATAACCTTGAGCAATGAAACTCAACCAAATTAAAAAAAAAAACTCATTCTAGAATGCTGTTGAACTGAAAGCAATTTTATGATTATTCCAAGAAGACTGATTACTTGGGGTTTAACACGTCAAGTAAAATTCTTACCCAAACTATGTCCCAGTGGATGAAATTCTGACCAGTACTGAAATCAACACTGTTAACATAGATGATGAAATTACTCTAAATGGCTAGGTTGCCATTCATTAAAAAAAAAAATGGCATAATTGCCATTGAGGCATTTGTGGCTTTAACTTTATACTAAGTAAATATGTGGCAGTGGGTTTTAATGTCCACTGGTTTGTGTTTCCAGGGTCCTCGTGGTCCTCAGGGAATTGATGGAGAGCCAGGTGTTCCTGGTCAACCTGGTGCTCCAGGACCCCCTGGACATCCATCTCACCCAGGACCTGATGGCATGAGCAGGGTGAGTCAATGTCACATTTGGGTAATATATTAAATTACTAATTTATCATTATGATTTTAGATTGTGTCAGTTCACATATTGATGATGGACTATGACAGCTATTAATTGAATATAGCATTTCTCTGAACAACATGAAATTGGGAAACTCAAAGTAGCATCTTTTAAAGTGTTGCTTCAGATTATTTTACTCAATGTAAGTTCTGGACTCTGTGAACTTTGTTGTTTCCACTGATTCTCCAGGACCACTAGCATTGTTTCCCCTATGAACTAAAGGCGGGTTCTATCTTTATGTTCTTGCTATTCTCTAGGTTAGAAGGCTGACAAAACTTGCCCCATATCCTCCACCAAGAGAGGAGAGCCATCTATGATGACTTATATAAGGCTGTTGAGTTAATATTAAAAATTGTTGCCTCGTTATTTCTCAAATTTTAGTTTTCTGCCTGAAGTAAAATTAAATGTGCGTCTCTGCCTTTGAATTCGCTGAGGCCAGCATAGTGAATGAGCAGTAGACTGCACAGCGTAACAAGAGAACATATGGAGTCTGAAAACCATTTTTATTTTTTAACAATTCATACATCTGCTCTCAACTGATTGTAGAAGGGATTGCCAATTTTTTTAAACAGTACATGCAACTTTTTCCCACTAAATCTTGGAATTAATATAACTGCTGGAATATAGAGGAACAATTTTGGTCAATTTGATTGCCAGAGCTTTTTAAAATGTGAAAGACAATAGGTAAAACTGTTCCTAGTTTTTGGAATATTCTGAGGTTCGCTAAAAGGATTATATATTTTTTTTCAAACACAAATGCAATTAAAAGTTTACTTTCTATGAACAAATAAAGTAGAATGCCTTCTGCATAAAATAGTGGATTCTGGCATCTTCAGGACAAATGTTTTCAAAGTCCTCTTTTATTATTTGTTTGGGTATTTGGCATTCTCTAACCCATAGGAAGAAATCAGATAAAGAGGTTTAAACCTGAAATCAATTAGACTAAGTACTGACAAGCGTGATCCATGATTTGTTGGAATGTGTGTCCTGTTGTATGTAAGAGTTGCTCTGAAGCAATGTACCTATGAAGTGATCTGAAGAATGACAATGAAAGCACATACAGTAGAAAACAGCCTGAACCTTTTTCCATGCTGTAAAGTCAAAGTTTAAAATGATTTCTAGAAGTGTCATTCTGTAAGAATTATAGAGAGTACCTTTCTCAATTTAAAAAGAATGTCGATGTATATCTTTTACTGTGGAAATAATGTCAACACGTTGTTTTTATAGCCTTTTTCAGCTCAGATGGCAGGGTTGGATGAAAAATCTGGACTTGGGAGTCAAGTAGGATTGATGCCTGGCTCTGTGGTAAGCATACATTTTACTGATTGTCAAAGTATTTGCAGAAAAAATAAAAACAGAGGCTTGAGTTAACTACTCAAGAAGTGGTATGGGTCTTCTGAAACACATCCATCCATCCATCCATCCATCCATCTTTCCATTTAATTATTTATCAAAGGTTACTAAATATCAGCTAAAAGCCCAGTGGTGTTCCATTCATAAACATGCAAAGCACTTGTGAAATTAATGAAGAACTGTCAGTACATTTCATCTCATGCTTGAAGAAAACAGATTTTAAGACATATAACTACCACTCTCACACAACAAAATAGTTCCTTTATCATTTAAACAAAAAAAAACCTGTTTTATGATGTTGTTAGAAACATGGATTTGGCACGATTTTTAAATCAGAGATATTTTGCCATTCTCATTTCTTTTATTTCCTACTTATCTTGATTTTTTTTTTTCGGGTTGCTCTAATAATCTATGGTTCCCCAGCTGGGCCTTCTCATTATCTCTATTATCTTTGGGCCTTCTCATTATCTCTATTATCTTTGGAATTTGTCAACTGCACAAAGGATTCCCTTGTTTTCTGGGCAAGTACTTTAACTCAGATATTTGAAGGAATGGAATGTCATTGAATGAGTTAACACTTTTCAAACCAAATGTCCCATACTTTTTTGATCACAACATAATTCAAAATCATTCCAGACTGGTGGAATTTCAGGCAATAAGAAGTGTAAAGTCAGATCTCACAGATAATTACACTGCTAGGGCCAGCATTATAGATACCTTACATGTTACTTCTATGTTTTTTAAATTGCTAGTATATATGGTGTCATTTAATGGTTATTTGGGTATTTTTTTCTGCTTCTATTGGTGTATGCTAATTATATAGAATGTTGCCTTTGATGGCAGTTTATTTATTTATTTATAGATACATAAAAAAATATAATTTGATTAATTTCACTCCCTAAACTCTCCAACATTTTCCCCTTCTCCCTACCTCTGATTCTCTTCCTCTACCCTAATAGTGTCCCTCTACTTTCATGCATTTTCTTTTCATTTCTAATGTTTTCCCCCTCTAGTTTACACATATAAGAGAAAACATATGATACTTTTCTGAGTCTGGCTCAAAATCATAGACTCCAGTTTCACCCATATTTTTGCAAGTGACATAATTTTGTTCTTCTCTGTGGTTGATTAGAATTCCATTGTGTAGATACACCACATTTTCTTTGTCCATTCATCTGTTGGTGGACACCTAGTCGGTTCCAGAATCTGGCTATTGTGATTTGTGTTGTTGCTACTAAACATGGAAATATTTGTATCTAAATTACGCTGGTTAATTTTTTGGGATCATACTGACAAATGGTAGAGCTAGATCATATAATAGGTCTACTTTTTGCTTTTTGGGGAGCCTTTCTACAGATTTCCGTAGTGGCTGAACTGATTTAAATTCCCATCAACAGGGTACAAGACTTGCCTTTCCCTTCTGCATCCTTACCAGCATTTATTGTTCTTTGTATTCTTGGTGATTTTTTTTCCATTTTGCCATTCTAACTGCAGTGAGATGAAATCTCAATGTAGTTTTAATTTGCATTCTGCTGGTGGCTAAAGATGTTGAACATTTTTTCATAGAATTGTTGGCCATTTTTCTTTTTTCTTTTGAGAAGTGTCTGTTCAGTTCATTTGTCCATTTATTGATTGGGTTATTTGTTTTCTTGATGTTGACCTTTTGAGTATTTTTAATATATATTCTTGTGAGAAGATGAGCTAACAAAGTTTTGCTCCCATTCTGTAGTTGCTTCTTCATTCTGTAATTGTTTCCTTTGTTGTACAGGTTTTTAAACTTCCTGCTGTCCCATTTATTAATTCTTTCTCTTATTTCCTAAGTTATACGGGCATTCCTATTTGGGAAGTCTTTGCCTGAGCCTGTATGTTGAAGTGTTTCCCCCTTTTTTTCTTCTAACAGTTTTAAAGTTTCAGATTTTATACTTAGGTCTTTGATTCATTTGGAGCTGACTTTTGTACAGTGTGAAAAAAATCTAGTTCCATTATTCTACTTTTGGATATCCAGATTTTTCAGAACCACTTGTTAAAGAGGTTCTCTTTTTTAGAACATGTTATTGGCACCTTTTTGAAGAATGACTATAACTGTGTTCCTCTGTCTTCTATTCTGTTCCATTGGCCTAAGTGTCTTTTTATGCCAGTGCCATGCTGTTTTTATTTCTAAGGCTCTGTGGTGTACTTTGATGTGAAATATTGTAATGCCTCTGTCTTTGTTCTTTTTGCTCAGGATTGCTTTGGCTATCCCAATCATTTGTTCTTTCATGTGAATTTTAAGATTGTTTTTATTTGTTCTGTGAAGAATATACTCGTAACTTATAGAGATTGCTTTGAACTTGTAGATCACTTTTGGCAATACAGTCATTTTAACATTAAGTCTGTCTATCAGTGAACATGGAGCCATTTCTTGGTGTCTTTTTACCATCTTCTAGTGTTCTTTTCAATTTCTTTTTTTCAGCATTTTATAATTTTCCTTGTAGAAGTTTTTACCTCTTTGTTTAGATATATTCTTTAATATTTTAATTTTTTGTAGCTATTGTGAATGAAATTATCTTCCTGATTTTTTTCCCAATATATATGAATTTTTATCTTTGGAAGTTTAAATTACATATGTGTTTATGTTTTAAAGGGGCTTTTATTTTATTACTAGCTAAAATTTTTGATCAATGCAAAGTGAAGTTTCAGTTTTTTGGCCATAAGAACAAATTTGATATTAGTTGAATCAATTTGACTTTATAAAGTCTGGCATTTTAAAAATTGTATAGTCTTATACAGTTTTAAATTTTCTTAAATTGTACTTTACTTTCCTTTGCTGTGCCTCAATGTAATAATTTTATTTTAAATGAGAGAAGCCTATGCTGATCCTTTCAATGTATGTTGTGAAGGAAAGAAATAATCCAGAAATCTCAGTTCCCTGAAAAATTTTAAACTGATATTGAAAATAATGTTATCAATATTGTTGACCTGATAAACGTTTACTCGACTTGTTCATTTACATCATAAGAATTATTTTCTGTGAAGTTGAAGGACTAAACAGGCAGTTTGAAAACTTTATGTCTGCTAAGCTTTTTCTCTTTAGATGTTCTGGTTTATACATTCTTGTCCTGAAGACATTGGGTTCGGGCATAATGCTTATTTCTCTTTATGACACTGAGCGTGTATACGAAATCATTCCAAGTGTTGTTCAAGCTTTAATCTCCCTGAATTTGTCTGCCTTTCAGATGAGGGCAGATGGATAATGTCATCATTCCCCTGTCAAAGATTCACTTTTCCAGATTCTAAAAGCCAAGCCAACATTTAAAAAATATTAATCATTTTGAATAATACTATACAACTTTTCTTCTCATTTGTTTTTAAGGGTCCTGTTGGCCCAAGGGGACCTCAAGGTTTACAAGGACAGCAAGTAAGTCTTTTTCTAATTAAATTGTATACTACAGTAAAGAAATATGTGAAAGCAAGCTCTGTGTGAGATGACTATTTTGGGCAGGCCTTTACATTGCATAATTCTAATGATCACTTTGGGATCTACTAAATAATTTTCACTCACTTAAAATATATGCAGTAGTTTTTCAAAGTTTCTTCATTGTACTAAATTTTTATCATCTGATTTCTTTATGTGACTCCCCTCAAATACCAGAAATTGTGTGTCTTTGCCCCTGAAATAACAAATCATTTTCTCGGTTTGTGATGAAAATTTTCATAATTGATTATGTGCCATCTCAAGGCTATGAAAACAGATTATATCGTGGCATTACCATGTGATATTATTATAAATAAAAGTCAGGGTGATCATTCTATAGAATATTTAAAAAGAACATAGTACTATGTATTTTCTTCCTATGCCTAGCAAATAGCAGTAAAACTGTGATGCAGAGCTATTTTATTTGTTGTAATGATTTAACAAGAATTAGGAAATGTTTTCTTTCTTTTTTTAATTTTTTTGGGGAGCATAGGATTGAACCCAGAGGTGGGCTATCACTGAACTATATCCCCAGTCTGCTTTACTTTTTATTTTGAGACAAGGTCTCACTAAGTTGCCTGACTGGCCTTCAACACATGTGACACTGTACCCATCAGGAAAAGATTTCTGAAAAGAAAGAAAGGAAAAATCTTTAGCTCAGTCTAGCTTAGCTGATCCTATGCTAGCACTGTTCAAGGTCATTAACCTGCATTAATGATCTGAACAGCCTAATGGAGTAAGTTCTATTGCTATTCTCATTTTGCAAATTAGGAAATTGAGTTATAAATAGATTAAGTGACTTGCCCAAAAGGGTACGAAAATGAAAAGTGCCAGCCATCTGAACAACCACATAGAGATTTGGTGTTTATTTTCCTTTGTTTTGTATTTAATCATTTTTCCTCTCAATTTTAGGGTGGTGTAGGACCAACAGGACCTCCTGGTGAACCTGGTGAACCTGGACCAATGGTAAATGTCAAGTAAGCCTGTATACTCAGTTACATGCTGGTCCACCCTGATAATGATGTAGTTATTTATTTTTCAAGGTCCTCTCTAAAGTAGTAAAAAATGAAAATTTAGTTTGAGAGAACTTTATCATGGACTATAGTTAAGCCATATGTTTCTTATGGTGGAGTATTTAAATTCAAAGGGATATGTATAGTAGACAGTTACCGAGATATGTCTATTTGTGCAATAAACCTTTGAGCACGTGATCTGAAGGATACAAGATAAAAGCTAAAATTGTAATAAAACTATTTTCTCTGATATATTTTTATTGTTTCAACAAATTTTAGATTATATTATTGGCAGGAAGAGGTAAATATTTTTTTTTCCTCCTTTCTGTTTTGCTTTGTCATTAGGGTCCAGTTGGTGCTCGGGGACCAGAGGGCCCTCCTGGCAAGCCTGGTGAAGATGTAAGCTTTTGTTTTTCATTTTTGCTTTTAAGTTCTAAAAAACTTAAGAAGGAGCTAGTGTGTTAACAAGAGTGGTCTGCAATAATTAATTTTATTTTCCCAACAGTTTTATCCTCCATAATATTCAATCTAACTTGAGAACTCAGAATAAACTTTTACAAAAATGTAAAAGAGTTCTTAAGTTTGATAGTATAATATTATTAGGTACTGTCTGTCTCCTATATTGCTCAGGATTTCCATTTAGATTTCTCTATGAGATATTATGAAGTCTTAATTAAGTGAAATTTTCAAATTATGTTAATAGTAGAGTGCCAATATGGCTCCTAAAAGCTTAAAAAGTAATTTCTTGAATTGGAATTTTAATTAAAGGTAATTTAACTATAAATTGTAACATTAATAGTATGTGATCAATGAAGATCATGCAACAACAAATTTTATTTGCAAAATTCTTTTCTTAGTTGTAATAAAGATGAGGATAAGATTAGGGCAGGCCATTAATTTCTATTTGACACAAAATTAAGTAAGTATAGTATTTTCTCTTTGCGAACTGTGACATCCATTTAATTTGAATTTGGCCATAAAGAAAACATCTCTGGTAATTCCTTTTTGTCACAATGAAAGAAATGATTAATAGTATTTGAAGAAGCAATGCTTTAATTCGGTGAGGTATGGTCATGCATGTAATAATTGATGTTCATAAAATTGTGAGTTAGAACAGACTATGATAATTCATCTTCATTTCTTCTGTAAATTGATGAAAGTTCTGCAAAATCAATTGTAGAATGACTTGCTATCAGAAATAGAGCCTAGATTTCCTTTTTTTCCCCCTGCTGAAAGCATGAACTTTCTAAAGAAGACTTTTTATCTGCAATTCATTTGTCATCTAGTCTCAGAGAACATTTTAATTCCTTTACACCTCCCCCATATCTTGCTTTTTTTTTTTTTTTTCTTCCATAAAGGGTGAACCTGGTAGAAATGGAAATACTGGTGAAGTGGGATTTACAGGATCACCGGTAAGTTTACACTTCTCAATATAGTGACATAAAGGTAAACTTGAAAACATAAGGAACATTGGCTTGCAATTCATTGTATGCATATGCATTAGACCCTAAGTAAATGCAGACAATTTAGCAATGTTCTTTTCTGTCTAAATGTAAAATATCATAGGACATTTAGCCAGAATTACAACTAATTCCAATCTCCAGCTTTGCATGGGAGCCATATGAATAACTCTCCTGGAGCCAGAAAATTATGTCATAACCTCACATGGATACTCTCCAAACTGAATATCAAATTTTCAGAAAAAGAGAACTTTTTTTTTTCCCCCAGAGGAATCTGGCTTGACCTAATTACAGTTATGATACTTGAATCCTGTTTATCTTTTAAAATCTTTTCATTTTATATTAGCCCATATGTCTAAAAGAATAGCCTGAAAAAGTTTAGTGACTTTTTTTTTTTAATTGGCTAAGGCAATAAATCATGGACAGGATATTTCCTTGGCTGCTCCCCAAATCCTAATGTTGGCTGAAATTCTTGATTAATACTCTGGACCCTGAAATTTCATGACAAGTTGATATACATTTGCCAGACCTCCTAAAAAATCTCTTTTCTTCTCCCTTGACTCATCTAAGTGGCCAGTCCATGACAATTCATTCCACCAGATTTTAGGACTTGGGCTACTAGAACATTCTCTGAACCCACCTGTCTGTTCTCCCTCATATTGCTTTGCTAGCTCCTCCCAAGCTACACAGGAAAGAGGAAAATCACAGAATGATAAGAAAGCAAAAATCCTTTTTGAACATCCTTCTCGTGGGTTTTTCCCACCCAACATCCCCTAAACAGATCCTGTCAGCTATATACTATATTTTCTATAATTTGCTAATGTTTCTACCGCTCAGTGCAACTAACAGTGCTGCATTACTCTGTTACTGTTTATTTTCTTGATGAAGTTCAATGCTATGATTTTATTTAAAAAATGCTGATCTTTAACAGAAATTTACAGGACTCTAAGGATTATTTAGTTTCAAATATGCAATCAATCCCCCACCTCCCTATTGTTTTTCCTTTGCCCCTCCATCTGCCCAGGAAGTAAATGCAGACAAAGGCATGAGATTTAGTCATTAGCACAGATGTCCTTTTCCACTATCCCAGGCTTGACCCTCCTGTGGCCTGCTGCACTCTTGTACACACTCACAGCATGGACCCTCTGTGAGGAGGAAAGGTACCCTGCCAGCACACCACAGATGCACTCTGCAAGCTCAGTGCAACAACGTGTGACTGGCTGTGATGACAGGCCTGGGTCAGCAGAATGAGAATTCTTTATGAGCATTTACTACATCTGGTCCACTTTCTTGTTATATTTGGGATATGTAATCACATGAGGATTTTCCTCAGACCATAAAAATTGAAGTGAACTAATTGTTTGAAATAACATCACTCAGTAATTCTCTTCTGGGATCAAATGGCTGTGCACTGAGTTGCTTGTTCCCCATGGAAGAGAGGCAAATCTTGGTAAAAGGGAGGATTCTAATAAAAAAAAAAACTTAAAGGGAGTTCTTGAGGTGAAAGAATTCCTAAGCAGGGTTGTGTAAACAGAAGAATTAGTGAGACTTCATTTGTTCAGAGAGCATGATTCGATGCACCCTTACTGTGATATCCTCCAAACATTAAAGAAATATTTTCACTGAAAGATGTCACAGAATTATTGCTTTGATCTTATCATGTGAATTTCATTTATTGAGTTGCTTATTTATTTATTTAGTAATAGTGAATGAAGCCTATGGTGTAAAGAGCTGAAGGATTTTACTACATGTATAAGACTGTGCTAAAACAAGAGAAATTCCTTAGGAAAGGTTTAAGTAAAGTGCTATGAGAATTTGAAACATTAAACCATTTCTCCAGTTGTTTATTCAATGATTATCCCACTAACGAGGCATGAGGCTGGAATATGAAGAATAATAGTAATAATAATTGAAAATTAATACTAATCACATCAATTAATGCAATCAAGATGCACATGTGCTGATGGCAGTGGTAATGGCAAGTCAATGCAAAACCAAATTAATGTAGACAATAAGAATAAGTTAAAAAGTCTCTGGATCATTATCAATTTTAAGAGAGAATGAGGAAAATGTTTTAAACATCATTTCAAAATAGTCCTATCATTGCATTTGATTTTCTGATGTATTTCTATTGTTTTTAAATTTAATGTGTTTTAATTGTATTCATAGAATTAGTAGAAATCACATTTCCTGATCTTTCTTTTTGTTGAATATTTCATTTCCTTGTTTAGTTTTTAAACAATCATAAATTCACAAAGCTTACAGGGAATATGTCACTTAAGAAATTCCTAATCACACTATAATATCATATTTCCTATCATATTCTGCTGGCAATATTCACAAGTTCAGAGAAAATTTAAAGAAAACATTGACTAACTATAAATGAATTTATTTATCTATTGCATATAAAACACAACATAAAAAAGGAAAAGCATATTTTTCCTTAAGTTTCTCTCCTGATTTTTTTCCTTATTCTTTTGCCTAGTCAATTCAGACATTAAACAGGTTGGTTCACTTGTATTTTCTTCTTCTTGTTGTTCTTTTTTCTTGCTACTACTTGCAGTATAGTGATATCATTTGAAACTTTGAAAATGTTATCAAATTGATACTTGGCATTACTCCATGTCTGTGTAAACCATGTTTCCATTTCTAACAGTGCATTTGCTGTGTTAATTTTTGATCACCTAGATATATATTGACAGATAACATATACTGGTTTTTTCTTTTTGGTTTAGTGTGTCAGTGAAAACTGTGATTCAAATTTTGTTTTTCTGGAAAAAAGTATATTAAACAATTTCCTATTTGTACTAATGATGCTGAAATACCTTATCTATTTTTTCCCCAGGGAGCACGAGGCTTTCCTGGGGCTCCTGGTCTTCCAGGCCTGAAGGGTCACCGAGTAAGTTCAATCTGAATTCTCTGATACTGTGGGTTATGAGTAGGATGTGGGGAACACTGTCTTCTAAATCTGTGCAAATCCCTTTGTCAATTTTTTTTTAACTAGCCATGATAGCAGCATTCATCTGCAGTTACTGAAATCAAAATTCTCTTTTACATTTCCTTCAAATTTCACTTGATTCTAAAAAGAAATGCCATTTGAGTTCTTACTGTGTACCTGGTATATTGTGATACCAAAGGGGATGCAGTGATAAATGAGAAAAGTCTCTGGCTTGCAGAGATATAGTTAAGAAAATAGACAATTACTATATAGTGGAATAAGTGACATGATTCAAGTAGAGGGACCAGCCAACCCAGATTTAGAAGGCAGTAGAATGCTTCTTTTATAACTCAAAAGAATTAACGTGTAATTATTATATGTTGTATACATATATATAATCTATCTAGCTATTTATCTATCTGAAAGGAAAGATAATATTCAATCACTATGCACTGACTAATCTCTGTATTGAGTAGCTGAGCTTCTAATTAGGATGTTTGATGCTGCTGGTCTAGTAATTAAGCACAGTTGTACTTCTACATCCCCTAGAGATCAACTCCAGCCACCCCCTACCATCTGTGCCCCCCCCCAATATGATACCAAAATCCACAGATGCTCAAACTCTTTATATACAGTTGCAGAGTGTTTTCATATAACCTATACCGTGCTCCCATATACTTTACCTCTAGACTACCTAAAATACCTAAATAATCCAATGCAATATAAATGCTATATAAATAATTGTTGCACTTTATTGGTAAGAAAAAATGATAAGGAAAACATCTATATGTTTTTAGTACAGTTGCAACCATTGATTGTAGGGCTAACTGCAGAGTACATGTCATTAACAAGAGAACTTGGTTTTCCTTTGAAAATTTTTTTTTAAAAAATTTTGGTACTCGGGGGTTGTTGACCACTGAGCCACATCTCCAACCCTATTTTGTATTTTGTTTAGAGACAAGGTCTCACTGAGTTGCTTAGTGCCTCTGTTTTGCTGAGGCTGGGCTGGCTTTGAGCTCAGGATCCTCCTGTCTCAGCCTCCTGAGCTGATGGGATTACAGATGTGCACCACTGCACCTGGTTGAAAACTTTTGAAACCTGGTTGTTTGAGACCATGAATGTAGAATCTGTGTATACAGAAGATCAATTGTATTTTGAATATCATTTCTGAATATAACTCATATTTTGTAACTATGAACTCTATAATTCTGTGTGTCCTCTAAGGCCCATATAAATTTTTATTTGTAGTTATAGATTAAATTTTTACAAAGTCATGAATGTTTGGCAATTGATAACACTAAATGTCGAAAATATTTTTAAATAACAAAACCTTCAATTTTCTGTGAGTAAACTTTCAAAAAAGGTTGAGAATTTAAAGATATTTTGAGCAATAACTTAAAATTTTAAATTGTTTTAATTAGGCAGTTTCCTTTTATGTGTGCATAGGGGTAACCAGGGATTGAACCCAAGGGCACTTAGCCACTGAACCACATCCTCAGCCGTTTTTATTTTTTATTTTGAGATGGAGTCCCGCTAAACTGCTGAGGCTAGCTTTGAGCTTGCAATTCTCCTGCTTCAGCCTCCTGAGCCCCTGGGATTCATAAGTCACTTTTTATTTTTTATGCTTCTTCTAAGTATTAAAAATTGAAAACAAATCCAGCATAAATATATAAATTTATATTTTTATTCTCAGGGACACAAAGGTCTTGAAGGCCCTAAAGGCGAAGTTGGAGCAACTGGTGCTAAGGTAATTGAACAAAACCAAAGTTTACCAGGACTACAGTACTTCAGTCCTACATTGAGTATCTATGTATTTTTCAGAACCTCCTCAACTAATTCTTCAAGAAAAAGGGGGTATAAATAAATGAATGGTTAGATAATTAACATGTGTTCTGTTGTTTACTGCCCTTTTAATTCTAGGGCCATATAGCCTTGCTTATTCCAAAAATTTATTTATTTCCATAGGGAGAGAAAATATCAAGAAAGTTCAGAGGGATTTTTATTGTGAGGCATCATGAGATACATACGTGAGAAAGCATCTGGTTTTAAAGTTTATATTTCTAAGTTTTCTATAATACATCTTCAGAGAATATTAGTTAATTTTATAAAATTATGCTTGAGACATACCAGAGATTGACATGTAGTTACTTTATTAATAGGTGTGATAGTTTCCATCTTTCTTGTTTAAATTCCCAATTTTATCTTAGACTTACTTCTGTGAAATCAATTTTTCACTTAATTTTATGGAAAAGCAATAATATAAACTTTTGAGATCTTTCATTGAAAGATTATAAAATGTGTTCTGAAAATAAATGTCCTCTTTAAAATTTATATATATGGACTAACATAATGTTATTGTTGACTTAGTTTTCTCATATTGTGCAATCTCAATTTTTCTTCAGGGTGAAGCTGGCCCTACTGGTCCAATGGGTGCCATGGGACCTCTGGTATGTATCAGTTTTGTTATTTTTTCTTTTCAAGGTTACATTAAGAAAAGGTTTAAGAGAAAAAATAAAAACACATGAAGAATGAAGAATGTACATTAGTCAGTGAAATACTGCTGACAGACAAGCAAAAAAAAAAAAAAAAAAAAAGGGCCCATTGGAAGGGAAAAGGCCCTTTCTGAATTTCACCTTTTTCTTGAGTGTTAAATGACTTTATCTTCTTCTAATCACAATGATCAAATCAGTATTTGATCAAATCAGTATTTGACCAAGTACTATACTTGGTCAAATAGTATGTACTTGGCCTCTTAAAGCTAAATTAAATAAAATCTATTTATATAAGAGGTGGTGGGGTAGGTGTCTCCACAGGTAGTTGTCACACTCCTGAAAACATTACTATTTGGCAACTAATTATATTAAATCTCAATTGGATGGAATAGATAGTTCAATCAGCCTAGAATTCAATTTAGACTCTTTAAGAGATGTTTTCTCTGTCTCATCTATAGGGTCCAAGAGGAATGCCAGGAGAAAGAGGGAGACTTGGGCCCCAGGGTGCTCCTGTAAGTATACCTGCTTTTATCTGTACTGCTGAGATGTGCATTTCAACCCTTTTTTGGGTTTGCTTCCCTGAATATGTCTTTTAAATGAGAAATCACAGTAGATCATTTGCTTTTTTATTTCTTTTTATTTGAGGATAATTTTTAAAAAAATATTTGGAATAAACTCCAAGTTTGAATATTAGTCTACATAGCCTGACATTCCAAGAACTGTGAAGAAAACTGATAGAACGTTCACCCCATACCCAGGTTCAATCACCATCATCCTTATAATATCTTTTTCCAATAAAAGTGCTCAACACAACCCATGAAATTCCATCAAATTTATGGTTGCTTTTTCTTCTAAACCTTCTCAGATGCCTGAGATATTATATCTTTAGTCTATTCCCTTATACTTCAGTACTATCTCAGTTCACTCTTGGAGAAAATATATTCTACTGTGCTCCCACAGTGTGCCAAGATTGATTCCAGCTCTATTTATCACCAGCTGTTCACTGGGGAATCCAGCTTAAAAAATTTAATTTAGAGTCAGCTTTATTTTACCACTTCTGCCTGGCTTTAGAGTGTTAGGTCAGGTTTCCTATGAAGCAGCTTCAAAGTAGTCAATTGTAGACAGGAAATTCACTGGGGATTGCTCTTAGAATTAATACTTGTGGAGGATTAAATAAAAGAAAAAGGATTTTCTAGAGGGAGAAATTGAATTCTGTTGCAATTGTAACAGAGACCTTGGTAATCTCAGGGGAATTATGGAGCTCTTCAGACTTGTCTTGAATGGAAGTCAATCGTTTGTACCCCTATATTCACCAAAGAAAGGGCAAAATTTTGAGAGAGACTTCCTTTACTGAGGACTGTTCTTGGGAAGAGTAACCATGAACCAACCCTCAATACTTTTAGCTGATGGAATTGTACTTCAGACCTGAAGGGGATCTGGGTGAAGATCAGACTCCATCATAAATTAATTTGTGTGTGTACACATGTTGTTTCTAAGTTGTTGTTTTTGTAAGGAGGACATTCCTTCCTTAAGTTAATCTGTCTGTTAAAAAGAATAGAAGTTGAAATTCTCATTGTTCCTAAGTTCATAGGATAGAAAGAATAAATTTTACTCAGTATCATTTTTTTCCTCAGTTTTGATTTTCATTTCTTATTGCTGTAAGAATAGGTATTTTTATTACCACCTTATCAGCTTTTCATAGATGGTTATTTTTATTACTACTCATCCAGAGACAGTTGTTATCTATTAACTTTAATATTTATTCTTCAACTTTTAACATTTTGAAATTGTTTACAAAGCAAATGAATTGTGATAAAATACTTTAAAAATGTAACCTTATATAAGAAGTGGAAAAATTAAAAATTACTATAAGTAAAAAAAAAGTGTAATCTTACCTTGCCTTTTTATTTTAATTAGGGACAACGAGGTGCACATGGTATGCCTGGGAAACCTGGGCCAATGGTGAGTAGTTGTACTTTCATATTCATTCATTCATTCTTCGTCTATCAATTATTCTGCTTATACATTTAAACATTAACAGAATATTCACTATTCCACATACTTAAAATAAAAGATGAAAAACACACAATTCTTGTTCTTGAAAATTGGATATATTAATAAATATAATTGCATAATACTATTGCTAACTGCTATAATAAAGAATACACATGAAGTATAGGAGATAGTGGAGGAATTACCTAAACACACAGTAAAAGAAGAAAGCAAAGGAAGACTTAAAAGCAGTAGTTTTCAAGCAAAGTCTTGAAAAATGAGTACATAAAACAGAAAAGAACACAGTTCATTCCAAACAACAGATAGATGAAAAAACGTGGTGAGCTCAGGAAAATGCTGAGAGGGTAAAATTAGAGTGAGAGGTAGGAGCTAGATCATGAAAGGCTACGTTTACTCTATTAAAGAGTTTTTGAAGTCTGTCTTAAAGTAGTTATTGAGAGATCATTGCAGAATCTTAAACACAGGAGTGTCATGACCTGAAAAATCACCTGCTGGTAATGTCAGAGATGACAGGGCGAAGAAGGCTGAGATGGAAGTCTGAGTTGAATATCACAAATGCAATCCTAGAGAGAAATGATAAAGATATAGACTAAACCTGTTATAGTGGTAATGGAGGCAGGCTGCATATCTGTGAGCTAAAAACATCTAAATGCCACAGCTTATTGGTTTTCTGGTTTAAGGAGTTTTGTACAATTTATCTGAGATTTGAAATACAGGAAGAAACAACAGGATACAGCTTGTGGGTTTGGGTTTAGGATGAAAAGAAATTAGTTTAGTTTTGTGATTGGATATGCAAGAGTGGAACTCAGGGTAGAGATTTGAATTGCAAATGTAGATTTGGGAATTTTTAACATATAGGTAATAAGTAAAGCCATGAGAGTAAAAGTATAACATGGAATGAGAAATGAAAAGATTTCAGGGAATGCTAATATTTCACACAGAGTGTTTTTTTATGCTCAGTATTGATAATGCTATTGCATTTTGCTATAGATAGTCTTGCACTGTTTCATAGGTGCCCTTTGAAATTATGAACCTTTAACTCACAGTTAAAGATGAAAATTTGAGCATTTATTTAGCTATGGGTAGTAAAATATAAACAAAAGCAAAATTTGTAATTTCACAAATTTCTAACATATTACTCATTTTTAATATTCCTTGTAATGTATAGATAGCCTCAATTGCTACTCATTATCTGATGAGGTTCCCAGAATCATGAAGGGTCTCAAGAGACTTATGGATGTAACACAGATTATAGTAGTAGCCAGTGGATCTAAGTCTCTCCTTTTATTTTGTTAAGGGAATTTAAATTATAATTTTACAGGCAAAACCAAACTAAATTAATATTTTCAGATAGCCTAAAAATATAGTTTTTTTCTGAACCATAGAACAATTCATTCATACATGTTTTTTCCCCACCAAATAACATTACTTTAATAGTGGTGGGGATTGGGGAAGGAGAGAGGGGAAGAAAGGGTGCATGATAGGGAGTAGAACTGATCAAAATCTGTCATATGCAGGTATGACTATGGCACAATGAAACCCACTATTCTGTGTAATTAACATGCACTAATAAAAAGTAAAAAAAATGTTTAAAAATGTAAGCTATTCAAAACAAATTAGAAAATAGTGGTGCAAATTGTACAATTTTATCTTCTTCAAACAGCAAAAGTTGAGCCAAGTTCCACAAGTTAACTTGTACTAATACAACTCCATGAAAAGAAAATTAGAGAGAGAAAGTGTGTGTGCGTGTTGGGGTGGGGATGGAGGTGGGGAAGGTGTTTCTGCTCAACATGAGCCAATACTGAAAGATGTTCAAAAAGAAAATTTGTATAGTTTTTAGTTTTTCCATATGCCAAAAGAACAACAGAATTCTACTATTTTGTAATTATTTGCCCCAAGAATATTTACTCCCTTGTACTTGTGAAAAGAAAACAAAATACAGGACAATAAGTAAGTATACTTTGAAAGGGATTTTATTAATTCAACATTGATGGAATTAAAATGCAGTCCTCAAGAAGAACCAAGATAATGTAGAATAGAATTCTCCTGATTTTCTTTACATTTAGCTTTTAAATCAATGGTTTGAACTCTGTGCATGTAGGATAGTGATAAATATCCACTTATTATTGCTCTGAAAAAATCCTTCTAAAATATTCGAGTTGTTTTTAAGCATCATTTTTATAGAATGACATGCTAGATTTTGGTACAAATTATAACTTTCTAAAAACTCTTTGCTATTTAGTTTAACACAGAGAAAGTGAATCTCAAGAGGCAATTGTTCAGAATTATTTGTGACTGAGACTGACTTAAACTTATGTGGTACAATAAGGAAATACAATTATTGTATTTAATACTTTTGGTTTGTCTCCTAGAATATTTTTGATCATTGTTAGAAGATACTTATAATAAAACTACATTATTATATTTGTGGTTTGAAAGCACAAAACAGATTATTCCTATATTATGTGTTAAAATAAAGATTGTTATCAGGTAATGAAAAAAAATGACCTAATTTGGTATTAGAGACATAGCTGATAAGTTTTATGGTTTCTTTTAATAGGGTCCTCTTGGAATACCTGGCTCTTCTGGTTTTCCAGGAAATCCTGGAATGAAGGTAAGATAATTGATATGTTTAACTCCATTTGAGTCCCAAATTAAAGAATGATATTGCATTAACTGAAGAGTATGGAAGTCCTTCTTAATTAAGTGAAGAGCCTAGAGTAGTATGTTAATTGTCCATTATGATAGGAAAATAAAGAGAATTTTAAAATGAAAGTAACTCTATAAAATGTAACGAGGAATAATTACTTATAACCATACAATTACAATATCAAAGAATCTATCATTTCAGGTATCTAGCAAAACAGGTATAAGGAATAAGAAAGAGTTTTGAACTGAATTAGAATTCAGTTCTTGGATAGAGTGCCAGGGAGTCATAAACAGCAGAATGCTCTGCACAATAGAAAGTTAAAATAAATCGGACCTTGTTAGAAAAGGCTATTCTTTCACACAATGCCAGTCATCACCCTGCCACCCCACTTGCAGCCATTGAAGGCGTGGGCAGGGAGGATATTTGGCTCTCAGTGTGGGAATGGATTAAAATATTCTGCTGGGATGACTTACATTCATAGTGAGTCACAATTGCAGTATTTTGGGAGAAATGTAAGGAATACAGTAGGAGGGTGTAAGCTCAAATCAAACTTGACCCTTGACATAAGTGACTTCATTTTGAGATCTCATTCCATCTTGTCTATAGAAGGTGATGCTCCTTCTTTTTTTGTGTGTTATCTTCCAGGTCAGCAATTCAGTTACCTGAAAGCTAATCAGAGAAAAGTCACAAGCGCTCCCTCTATCTGGGGACCTAAAAAGTCCCCAGGAACTTTCCTGGCTTAGGCAAGAGCCAAAAATGTGGGGAAAAATACACGAATAAAAGCTAACTTACTCTATTCTGTTGTTAGACCTGTTTGTAAGCCCCCTGTCCTCACCACTTTGGGTTGATGCTGCCTGTGGTGTCTGGCCCCTTTCCTCCCTTGGAAAGTGAATAATCATCTCTGCTTTGTGCTTGGACTCTAAAATCCTTCACAACTCACAGACCTGTTACCATATGGTTAGACCTAGCAGAGGGTATTAAGATTATATTAGCTGAATTAGTGAATAAATTCAAAACAGTATTTTCAAATGGTATGCAACACATTTGATTGCCCCTCACCCTAAGAAATCATGGCAAAGAGTTTCATCTTGAAGAATGGATTTACTTATAAGGTTTATTTAGTCTTACAAAAACGACAATGGCAAGTGCAGGTAACTAGCCCGCTTTAAGCCTTGCTTTCTCATGGAATTTTGCCTAGAATTAAGATAATCTCTATATTTTTACCATATTGGACCCTCCCCAATATAGTGTCATTTCTCTTATTAATAGTGCATAGTGCTATTTAAATGGGATTTCAAGTTAGAACAAAAAGACCTGAAATTTCAAACACTTATTGAAATACCAGAATCATCAGGTCAAATGATTCTGCAGGCTCTCTCCAATGCTCTCTCTAAACTCTGTGCCACAGGGATGGAGCTGCCTTCAGATATTATCCTAAGTCATTTTACTATCATTCCTGCTTTCCTTGGGCAACTTTTTGTGCCCCTCTGACTCTGATTTTCTTCCTGATGTCCAAATGTTTTCATTTTGTGGTTCTGGGGCTAATACGCAGGGCAACACACATGCTAAGCATGAGCTCTACTACTGAGCTCTCTCCAGCCCTGAAATCTATATTTTAATACAATTTACTCTTGCCCCACCTCCTCTATATCCCTATAAAAACATCCAAAATTTCTTCATTCTTCATATGAGACCCTCCACCCCAAAATTGAGCTCTGGGTTGGGAAATAAAGAAAGAATACTCACAAAGCCAAAGTCTACAAATTAGTAGAAAGGGATTTTTGCTCCTATGGAAGCAGTTTCAAGTTCACTAGCAATCGCACTTTATATAAGCCATCACTCTGGATACTTCCCTGTCCTCCCAGATTTTTGTAAGACTTTTTGTCAGCTCTGGAATGCTACTTAATAAAACTTAAACAGCTAGCAAACCTGTTTCTCTAAGAAATTGTTTCCCTGTATTTGCTTCTCACCCACACCACTATAAAAATTCTTGAGTATTTGTTTTTTTGCATCCCGTTTTTTGCATTTCAATAAAGAGTAATAGAGTTTTAATGTATTTAGTTGATAATGATGAGCCACTTAAATAATTTCAGTTTTCTAATCTAGAATTAGACCTCACAGATATATAATAAAATACAGGAACTAAGTTGAATTTCAGATACAGAGTATAAATTTTTAATATAGGTATGTTGCACATATATTGCATGGGAAAAACTTATACTAAAAGTTATTTGTTTATCTGAATTAAAATTAGCTAGGCTTTCTGAGTTTTATTGCTATCTGGATCATTATGTTGAATTTAAATAAAGGTAATTATCAGGTTACCTTGACCACTTAGTTCTGCTCTTAATGCTGTTTTTTAAAAATATCTAATTTATATCAAAGAAGTGTGTGTGCGTGTGTATGTGTGTGAGTTTGATAAGTGTTGTTTTGTTTTATAATGCCAAAGGTTGTCAAGCTAACTAGATATTTGTAGCCCTGATATTTTACATTTTGCTGAATGAATGATTTCTTGAAGGTCAATAGCATTGAATTTTTATAAATTGAGTAAAATTTATACTAATAAACATGATTTTTTCTTTATTACTTATATAGCAAGAAAACAATGTTTTTCCCTCTAATAATGATATAGACTTTTTTTTTTTCAATTTTTACTGTGAATTTCAGTCAATTGGAGAACCATTGTTTGGGTCCTGTAGCACATTTTAGCTGATCTTGGGTTGTTTTAGAAATATAAAGAGATACTTTGGTTTATTCTTGGATAACAATCAAACTTTACTTGTGTGGTACCTTGTTGGACTTGAAATGTTCATGTTTACATTAAATAGAAACAACTTCTACAAACATAATGGATCTGTTCCATTTTTCTATTTTTTGTTTGATTTGAGTTAGAGTCTGAATATGCTTCTGCTATTTACACAGAGGTGTACTTGAAGCATATGAATATTTATCTAAGAACAAATTAAAAGCAAATTGTGTAGGAATTAGAATATTTACTCTCATTCTTGGAGTTTGGTGATACCTGTATAGGATTCTTCCCAATTTTTTATTATGAATCTAGATTATATTAAATGTTAAATATAGGGGCTGGGGATATGGCTCAAGCGGTGGAGCATTGCCTGGCATGCGTGCGGCCCAGGTTCGATCCTCAGCACCACATACAAACAAAGATGTTGTGTCTGCCGAAAAACTAAAAATAAAAAATATTTAAAAATAAATAAATAAAAATAAATGTTAAATATAATAAGTTAAAAAATCTGATAATTTGGTATGAAGAATACCAAATTTTGTGAAGGTTCTGAGGATGGGAACTTAAGTTGACCCTGATGAATGTGTAGGATTTCTATAGTTGGAAATTGGGATATGGAGAATATTCTCATGAAAGAGGTCCCTGGCATAATTGCATAAAAAGCTGGTAGAAAGGTAGTAAGTCCATTCCTTAAGCTAGTTTAGGCCCACATCTTTGATAAACCTATTTGTGCTCTTGGCCTCTGTAAATATTTGGGTTTAAAATGAAAATACAAACTTGCAATCAACTTTGTTCCATGACACTGTTATATTTTTCTTAAATTAACATATCCCTTTGCACTCCTTTAGGGAGAAGCAGGTCCTACTGGAGCACGAGGCCCTGAAGGTCCTCAGGGTCAGAGAGGTGAAACTGGACCACCAGGTCCAGTTGGTTCTCAAGGTCTTCCTGTAAGTTCCTAGTGTATCTAAGTACTAGCTCTGAAAGATGGACACTTATTATAATATCAGAACAAATGCAACCTGTCTTAATATATTCTCTTTGAATTCTGAATGAGTGCTTAAAACTCATATAAAAAAAAAACAACATTTCCCATATCAACTCTGCATGTTTTCCCCAATTTATGGAAAAGGTAATTAGTCATAAAAGTATTCTTATGATGTAATGGTGAATAATGTGATTTTTGCATTTTTTCTCTCTCCTTTGGGAAGATGATTGGACTTCTGAATGCTACCCATATGTGTCCAGATATAGCTTAATATTTTAAAACTTTTTATGTGCCTTTTAGGGTGCAATGGGAACTGATGGTACACCTGGTGCCAAAGGCCCCACGGTAGGTAACTTCATTTACACCATGTGAAATTCTAATAGTTTCAATCCTTTGGATATTGGCGCTACAGTACTACCTAGGTCTCTACTCATCATGCCACTTTTGCTACCTGACAGGGCTCTCCAGGTACCTCAGGTCCTCCTGGCTTGACAGGACCCCCTGGATCTCCTGGCCCTCAGGGTAGCACTGGACCTCAGGGAATTCGAGGACAAACGGTACTGTCTTTTGAAACATCTATCGTCCTGTAGTATTATCAAACTAAGAGTGCCTAGAGAAGTAACAGGTAATATGAAACAATGAAGCAGACAATGTGACTTATCCAAGTGAGGGAAATGAAGTTTGGAATCTGAAATCTCTGAAAGCCAAATGTTAATGTGCAAGCGAGTTGTTTAAATTCTAAATTGAACATTATTGCCGTAAGTTAAATTTTAGGTTTTTTAAAACTTAATATGGTGATAACTTCATAGTTCACCTCATAGAATTTTATGGTTAGTTAAATAATAAATGTTACGCAAATATTTTATAGGGATTTATGTGATGATTTGGCTAAAATTAGGTCCAACAGATATTTCTTGAGGGTTATTCTTGAAGAATGATTCCAACATACTGTTTCTATTAAACAAGTTTCCATAGTTTGCAGAAATTATTAGGAAATATATTTGTGATAAGTCCATAAGAAATAAACACATTGAGAAGTTGTGCTTTTATAGCTTTTATCTAGATGGGGAAAATATACTTTTTTTCCCAGTACTACTTTAAACAAATATTTTAGATTATGTTACAAAAAAAGGTGGTCATGTTGATAAACTATTTTTAATTGTTAGTGATAGATTTATTAAAATATGAATGTTGCTGATATGTCACAATTTACTTTACCATGTTCTCAATTTGACAATTTGATTCCTTTGATATAAATACCAATTAATATTTAAGGACACAAATACACAACTCCCAGAGCATTTAAAAAATGAAATATCCTACTTGGAGTTGCAAAATTCTCAAGAAATAAGAGAAAAAAAAATGGTTTTGATTCTGAGTAAACAAATCTGTATCTTAAGTAAACCCTAAGTAAAATTACCTATAGAAGTCATCATTGTTAATTCTAATTTAAGGATCAAATCTGAATAATAGTGGAATGATTTTAAGTATTTTAGTATGTTTGAAATAACATGACATTAAAAATCAAACTGTTGAAGTTCACATAGATTCACATATATTCTATAAGATCTGCCAAGTTTAAAAATCACATTACTAATTCAATATAGATTCAAACACTGAAAAAAATGCGGGCCTATTCATGCTAATGGATTAGAGCAGGTTGGACTTGCTAAATGTCCTGGTTTCTACAACAGTTAACATTTTATTTTAGGGTGATCCAGGAGTTCCAGGTTTTAAAGGAGAAGCTGGCCCAAAAGGGGAACCGGTAAGCCTTCACTTTTATTTTTATTTATTTTTTAAAGACTAGAAGAGCATAAATGTCATTTGGAAGTGTACATCTCAAAATGCTCAAGAGATTAAAAAACAATGGGACTAATAATAGCTTTGGATGAAAATACTTTGTTTATTATACTTTAGGATTTGTGACTGGCTTCATTAAATGAGTCTTCCAACTATTCCTCTTGTCAAAGAGCTCCTCTGGTAACTTCCTTATCTTTTTAACAGGGGCCACATGGTATTCAGGGCCCAATAGGCCCACCTGGTGAAGAAGGCAAACGAGGCCCTCGAGGTGACCCAGGAACAGTTGGACCACCAGGCCCAATGGGAGAAAGGGTGAATTTGAATAATAAAATACATTCTTATAGTTATGGGGGAATTGTATGAGTAAGTTTGGGGATAATAAGGAAAACTAAAGCATTTAAGGGATCTACTGTAGTGACCTCAAAACAGTTTAACATGGTTGTTGTGTATAAAAAGAGCCAACTGTCTAATCATTCCTCATTCATTTGTGCGACACATATTGATTGAATCATTACCAAACGCCAATTTGAGATTTTGGTGCTTGGAATACATTAGAAGACTTCTGTCTAATATGGTCTGAGCCTTGTGTGGAAATTAGTTTACTTTGGTGGGGAGATACAATTAGAAGCCAGTAGTAAAAAAAAAACATATTTACACATTCACTTATTATCTAATGGGCTGGCGTGGTGAAGAGTTAACTAGAGTATATGATAGTGATATAATGTTAGATTAGGTGCTTAGGAAATAGGGTCCTTTGAGAAGATACAATTTTACCTTAGACCTAAGAAAGAACATTCTTAGCAGAGGAAAAACTAACTCCTAAGCCAGAAGGTCAGAAAGGATTTGGTCATTGTGAAGGTCAGAAGAGGCTGCTGTGACTGCAGTACGATGAAACAAATCTGAAAGGGGCAACAATAATCCAAAATTTGTACAGAGCTCAGAGCTGTCAAGGGCTTCTCACACAAAACAACACTAATGGCTCCTAAAATTTTATAATAATTAAAATAAAAATTAATCGCTATATTCCAAAACTGTCAATAGAAATTTAAAGATTATATTTTCATCCTTTGCAGGGTTCTCCTGGCAATCGTGGTTTTCCAGGATCTGATGGTTTGCCTGGACCAAAGGTGAGATCACTCCACATTGCTGATGCTCACGTGGGTGGTGTTTAAAAGAGGCCAAGTACAGTATGGTGATGAATCTGGCATGAATCCAGATCTAGAAAGGAGGTGGATGCAGACATCAGGCCTGTCCCTAAACTGTGTAACTGTTTTTCTTTAAGAGGTCTAAGACAGGAGGATGATGGTTTAAATATTATGAGAACTTGTTTTCAGTCTTTTGAGGCACATTCCAGAGATGAAAAAATAATAGACTTTTACTTTAGGTGATATATATCTTTTACTCAGAAATTTAGCTCTTCCAAGATTCTATTTGAATTATTGGAGTGAGGTTCTAAACACAACTTTGATTAATTAATGATGGGAAAAACCACTCTTTTACAAGATGAATTCAAGTTACAACAAAATGTTTAATAACATTGTTTCAAAGAAGTCTTTGTAACATCTTTGACAAAATAGTTGTATATTTGTGTGGATTTGTAAAATAAGAATTTAACCTCTCCCTGCTTTTGTTTCCCTGTTCTCCTTTCTTCTTCTAACTAGTATCTCTTGGTTTGGAACAGGGTGCTCAAGGAGAACGGGGTCCTGTAGGTTCTTCAGGACCTAAGGGAGGCCAAGGGGACCCAGGACGTCCAGGGGAACCTGGGCTTCCAGGTGCTCGGGTAAGAACCTGGAGTTATTTGGTATATGAACCCAAAAGAAGTCCTCCATTGAAGGTTTTTTTTTTTTTTTTTTTTTTTGCTTTTGCTTGTTTATACAACTTGGAGCATTTTGTTTTTATGATTTTGATCTGATTGTTTGAAATATTGTTTTTAATTTTTTTTCACTTTTGGACAACATGTTAACTTATAGTCTTCATTTCTCAAATAAGTATGCACTAGTAGCTTTGCCATTTGACATGAGAAAAAAAAATCTTGTTTTCATTACTTGCTAAAAAAACCCCTACTTGTTTGGACTTTGGTACAGTTTTCCTGATAAATTTCACTTTAACAAAATATCATTGGAAATATTATTTAAACTCAGGAATTGGCCATCTATTCAATCTTTAACAATGCAACACTATTTTTCCTGTTTAGAATCTTTACTTAAATGTCAGTTTAGCAACAAATTGACAGGTGCTTTTCATTTTCAGGGTCTGACAGGCAATCCTGGTGTCCAAGGTCCTGAAGGAAAACTTGGACCTTTGGTAAGTAATTTAAATAAAAAGCTATTACCTTGATATTTCTAAATAGATATGCAATTTAAATGACACTAATTAATATTTTGATTGTATGGATGTTATATTTTCATGCTTCACCACCCCCCTAGTAAATTCTTCAGATCTTGTATATTTTCAAATTGAATAAAAGCTAGATCAAATTTCATTGAAATAAATGTTGGAGTTTGAAATTCCATAAGTGAAGAGAGTTGAAATGATGCTATTTGATATTAGTGAAATTTGTCTACTACCAATGTTCTCATTCTTCCAATTTTATATATTTAAAAGATAAGTAGGTATGACTCTTAAGAGGTGATATATTTTGAGCCCTTACCTTATACTGCATTGTAAAACAAAGTCTTGAATTTTCATTACCACAAACTTTAGTAAATGAAAGAAGAAGGAAAGATTCTTCCTATCAATATGAGAATGTCAGGAAATGTGAGGATAAGGCTTATGCATACAGTAAGAATAAAATCTGTGCTCTAATTACTCCAAATATTTAAGAGATTTTCTAAAAACCATCCAACTTTTCTGAGTCACTCATAAAAGTCATGGAGTAATTTACAATTTATATAACTTTTATAGTAAGCAAAGGAAAATGGCAAATTTAGAATGGAACACTAAGAGAGAACTTACGTGTTTCCTGTCTATCTTATAGGGTGCTTCAGGGGAGGATGGCCGACCAGGTCCTCCAGGTTCCATAGGCATCAGAGGGCAGCCTGGGAGTATGGGTCTTCCAGGCCCGAAAGGTAGCAGTGTGAGTACAGTGTGTAATATATGCCACCTCAGCAGAATCTGCATTGGAAGACCAAGGTATATTTTTTAGAAAACTGATTGAGTTTTAGAATAATATCAATTTACTCTTTAGGGTGACCCTGGAAAACCGGGAGAAGCAGGAAATGCTGGAGTTCCTGGGCAAAGGGTAACTATCCATTTTCTGCTAAAAAACCAAATATGAAACTGTCGAAATTCTCATTGTCTCATCTTATGAATTTTCTGTGTGATACTAGGGAGCTCCTGGAAAAGATGGTGAAGTTGGTCCTTCTGGTCCTGTGGGCCCTCCGGTATGTGACCTTTTAGTGATTATATTTTTAAATCACATTTCTTGGTGATGTTTGTTTAGGATTTATGAATACTTATTGAATAAGTTTCAGGAAAAGTGAATACAAATGTGTGGGGTAGAAAAATTTTAGTTATATCTTATCACCTGATTCCTTGTGATCTGGTGTTTCCATCCTTTTACAATAAAATAATTGGCCTTTTCATTTTAAAGATTTTTAAAAATCTGATGACAAAGACTACCTACCTTATTATCTTTATAAGTTACAATTGACTTTGACAAATATTTTATATTTTATTAAAATTTTAAATACTAATTATACCTATCTTCTTCCAATAATGTATCTTATAAAAATTTACTTAAAATGTCTTTTTTTTGAAAAGATAAAAATAGATAATGTATATTCTTTGAGATTAGGTTTTTGTTTTAGGATTTTAAAGTTGTTTATCAGAAATATTTGAGCATATTTGCTGGTTTTGGTGTGGAACAGCTTAATTGTGTTTCTAAAATGTCAGCTTTGCTTTCTTTAGTTATTCTAGTTTTGAAGCTGTGATTAATAATTCTTATGGCACATAGAAATAAACTACAAGAGAAAATATCATCCTTGTAGATTAGATATGGGAAAATTGTGGATTTTTTTCCATGCTCAAATTGCCCAACTTTCTTATAATTTGAAAATTGACTCCAGACATTTTCTGTTTGGATCAAAAAATGGAAAACATGCCATCAGTCTCTTTACTGGCTTTAGATGATATTTTCTCACCACCAGGAACTTCAAATAATACCATTTGATAGATTTTTTAATTCTAGTCTGTTATTTAGCCAACATGATGAACATGCTGAAAGAAATACTGGAAGTAAGCTGTTTCCATAAACAGGAAGCAGACATAAATCTATCTGTATTCATGATTTTCTTTCCTTTATGACTTAGGGTCTAGCTGGGGAAAGAGGAGAACAGGGACCTCCAGGACCCACTGGCTTTCAGGTATGCACTAATTCACGTTTCTGTTCTTCCATTGAATGGTTTTAAGATCTGAAAATTTAAGGTTGAATGATGTGAAATTCTCACATTTTCAAAAAAGTCATCCCCTTTGAGTAGATGGGATAGATATTTGGATAAAATCAAGCATTTTTGTTCAAAGGAATGGAATTCCCCTGAAAAACTGATCAAACACAAAGCTATTAACAAATTAAAAATAATAAAATGTTCCTGATATCTGAACAAGGCTATTAAACTATAAGTCTTATCATTTTTATGGGCATGGTCACTAAAATTTGTTTGGAAAAACTTTCATGATTTATCTATATACATGTTTTGCTTAATGTGTCTACATAATATCTTTTGCTGGGTATATAATCCCGGAGGTTCTATGAATTATAAAAGATGAATTGTTAACATTGATAGACTACGTATTTTCATAGATTCAAAATTTTATTTCCTTATGTTCATTTTAGGGGCTTCCTGGGCCTCCAGGTCCTCCTGGAGAAGGCGGAAAGCCAGGTGATCAGGTGAGATTTTAAATAATAATAATAACAACACTATAAATTGCTGGCTCATGATATTACTTTTTATGAGTGAAGATCTGTTATGATTTTTTTCCATATATCTCTTTGAATCTTCAAAAGAATCCTATGTACCACATATTATAGTTATCTCCATTCTACAGATGAGGATAGTGAGGCACAGAGATACTAGATGTCTTTCCTAAAGTCATACGGCTGATAGTATTTGAACCCAGGTTTTCTGTTTTCCAAGACTGTGCCCTTAACTAGCAAATATACCTTATCATAGCCATAGAGTTTCACTGGAGGATTTATACACAGTTATAAACACATATAATGATTTTAACATAAGTTAATTTATTTTTTCTTTGAGTGATTCATTTGTTGTTTACCATTCAACAAGTATTTCCTGAACATTTCTTATACTTGGCTCTACTGAGAGGAACAAGATGAATATCGGCATTGCCATCATATTAAGAATGGTAGAAGATGGAGAAAATAAGAAGAGAGTTACAATACAGCATGTTCTGAAAGCAATAATAGGTGGAGATAGCATATGTATGAAAACATGAAAGATGCACCTAATTCAGATAGACATAAGGGTTTAGGAAAAATTTCTGAGACAAAGTAGTATCTTGTATGAGATCTGAAGGATGAACAATGGCAAAGGCAGAATGAATGGAAGGACTTTTCATAATATTATGAAATTGGGGTTTTAGGAAGATCATGTCGCAATGAGAACAAGCTGTTTCAGAAGAACCCATAATTCCTCGTAGCGCTTTGTCCATAACATATGTCTAAAAAAAAAAATTTACTAAATTAAGTAGGACTTAATTGGTTCTATTTAGAAGATCAGCTCTTCACTGTTTTTTTTTTATTATTTCTCTTTATGTAAACTTTTCTATGTTCTATTGGGATATAAAAGGTTTTGGGATATATTCTTTCGCTAAAAAGTATATCATACTAATTTTGTGCCAGAATATTTTGCATTTTTTCATTGCCAAAAAATTTAAACATTCAGATATAATTTAAATTTTTCTGGAAAAATGTTTCTATTCAATAAATTGATATTCTTTTATTTTAAAAGTATATGTAGTTTTCCTTCTTTAATATTATGGACTTATTCAGCCTTCAAATGGTACTCAGAAATAAATTTGATGTATGATCTAAAAAGATTTCTACTAATGCCTTAGAGCTATCTTAAAGGTTTTCTTCCATTTTTAAAAATTGTATTTGTAGGGTGTTCCTGGAGACCCTGGAGCAGTTGGCCCATTAGGACCTAGAGTAAGTATTTTCTGTTTTTTGATTAATTTTGCTTCCCACTGGCTTCAATTTTAAAACAGCATCTTTTATCTTAAAAGGAGTTTTGATTTATGCACCAAATTAAAAAACTTGAGTTATGAATAAGGCCGCTTCTAAATTTTTCTCTAGTAAATGCCATTTACAGAAACATTTTAAAGCCATTTTTAGATGAAGTATTGAAATTATTTGACATTCTAATATTATCATAGGGAGAAAGAGGAAATCCTGGTGAAAGAGGAGAACCTGGAATAACTGGACTCCCTGGTGAGAAGGGCATGGCTGGAGGACATGGTCCTGATGGTCCAAAAGTAAGTACCACATTGATTTCCATACTTTAAAAAGCTCTAAAATTACTGCCTAGCAGGTTCCGGATGGTATTAGAATGTGTTTCACTTTTTTTTTTTGCAAGATGAGTTGACTTTATTATTTTATTATTCAGCAAATATTTAATGAGTGCCTACTAGGCATTTTCCTGGCAAATAAAGAATGAGCTCAAAAGAAGACTTTTCTGCAAGGGAGATAATATCCTAGGACATATGATGATATGATGATATGATTCACACACACGCCTATTCTTAATGCTTATTTAGATACATTTTATTAATAGCTTCCATGAGTAAGCAGAAGCAAGAAATAGAAAATCACATTTTTTACTAAAGCTATTCTTAATCTCCAGCTCCATTTTCCTTGTCTCTGGTTGCACAATTCTTTCTACACATGTGAAAATATGTACTTTTTGAACCCTGAAGATAGAATACATTATAAAGGAGAAATCAGCACCCTTCCCTTTTAAGTGTCATTGGTAGGAAGAAAATAATGCAGCCAGCTTCAGTATGCACAATTGAAGTACAATTTTCCATGATCATGTAGCATGACAGCTCTTATACTCTCCAGGGAACAGAGTGATTGGATAAGATTGACTTTAATCTAACCACTAATTATCTGAAAAAAGAACTTAATAACACAGGTTTTCTTAAGAGAGTACGGAATCAACATTTCTTTCCTCTAAATGTAATCTCATCTTTATGAGTCTAAGATGTTGCCAATAAAGGAAAAAAAGAAAAATGCCAGTCTATTACGTTTATTTTAATTGGTATTTAATTTTCTCTAAAGAGAAAAGTTGGAAGCATAAATCAAAAGTCAAAAATCAAATCTGATTTAATTCCTAAATAAAAATGGAAACATTAGGTTGAACTATGTGAAATTGCTGACATTTAACTACCATTGCCCTACTGAAGCAGCAATTTCACATGTTTAGTCTTAACATGGTCACTTATTATTTGCCCATTTTAGGGCAGTCCAGGTCCGACTGGGACTGTTGGAGATACAGGCCCACCAGGTCTTCAGGGTATGCCAGGAGAAAGAGGAATTGCTGGCACTCCTGGCCCCAAGGGTGACCGAGTAAGTCTCTTTATTTATCTATTTATTCCACTTCATTTCTTTAGATGTTCTACTAATAATGATTTCTTAAGCAGGCTTTTCCTTCTACCATTCTGAGTCTCACATCACCTATTCATTGATTCTTCTAATAAATATTTTTTGAGAAAGTGCACAGTGCTAGGAACTGCTCTAGGCTCAAGGGGACACAGCTGTGAAGCCCTTGGACCCATAAAACTTTCTCACAGGTGTGGGAAAGAGATAATTGAATAGATAAAGTATTTTTTATGCTCTTCCAGGGCGGCATTGGAGAGAAAGGTGCTGAAGGTACAGCTGGAAACGATGGAGCAAGAGTAAGTGAGAGCATTTTTTTTTTTTTTGTAGCAGGGCGAGGAACCAACATTATAAGTAGTATATGAATATTCTTAATTTTTCAAAATCTTGTTTATCACATTTCATTGGTAGTCAGAATTTAGAGAATGATGGCATTTGAGATGTTACATGAATCAGTCATGGATACTTATTTGCATACCACCAATTACTGGAAGCCCCAAAGTAGTCATTGTTGAAAAAATTAAATAAAACACAAACATATTATGTCTGTGGAATGGTGATTTAAGGGAGTGGGGTGCCTCTTTATCTTTCTCTGTCATCTTTTTATTTCATGTGCAATGTTTAATTCTGTTGAAATGTTGATTTAAAGAGCGTCTAGACCTCATTCCAGTACAAAGTAGAATTTTATAGTGGCTAAAGTATGTTAAGTGTTTCTCAATATACTGAATATTATAGGTGAGAAAATTACTGCCTAGTGACTCATCATTTATGCTTTCATCAATGAACAGTCTGGATAAGTGGAATATTAAGAAGAATGATTGAGGGGCTGGGGTTCTGGCTCAGCACTTACCTAGCATGCATGAGGTACTGGGTTCAAGCTTCAGCACCACATAAAAATAAATAAATAAAATAAAGGTATCCTGTCCATCTACAACTAAAAAAATAAAAAAGAATGATTGACACCAAAGCATTGTTTAATGTCATGTCAAAAAATTGACATTTAACAAATTTAAGGTCTTCAAAATTAGAATATATTTGCAGGTCCAAGGGTAATCAGGGTAGTAGGACAATATATTTTCAGACATGAATTATTTCCTCATGGAAGAATGGTTAGCACAGTGATTCAAATGCTCAGCATTTTCTGTTAGAGTTCATGACATTTTGCGAATTTTTTCCTGTGTCAGTGAGACATGATTTGCTGTTATTTTCATGGTGTGCCCTGGCAGTAGCAGTTGCATCATTAAAAAAAAAGATCACCTTGAGCCACTTTCTGGTACTTCAAATTGAGTAAAATAGAGAAAACTTTTATCTTAGGTGATATTGTCCCTTTATCCTTATGAAAAAATTTAGCGCATTACAAACACTTGCTGTCTCTTCCCTTTTTGTTAAATCAAATAGTTGATTTAATATTTCAAAAGCAATTTAAGTAAATCTAGAATATTGTTTGTATTCTACATCAAAAGTGTTATGGAATGTATAGTAATAGTACAAGACTGTTTGAAGGAATGTTACATTTAGAGTTTAAATCCAAAGTGCACGTCTACTGTGCCTGTGAATTGCCAACGTGGTAGGCTCGGCACTAAGCAATGGCTTCTTTAGTTGTAGTGAAGGCAGTACATTGTGTTAGGAAAGAGGGAGAACAGAACATCTGCTGGAATCATATAATAAAGGAAAAATCAATAGCATGTGCTCTCTGTATGGAAAAAGCATCTGTGACTATAAGTAGCAAAGTGATCTTTGTATTTAATCAGATCTTTTAAAAAATTACCTTGAGTAAATTAACAGAAAAATATCATCTCATTATTGATACAGAGAATATAAGAACATGGTTTTCTCATATTCATGTTAAAATATGAAATTAAAAGTCATTTTTGTGACTTAACTTTCTTCGGCAATATTTACAGAAATTAAATAATGAAAGAATATTTGGGCTGCATATGAAGAGGCAATCCACAAATATTGGTAGAGACATTGTTTTAGGAAGAACTCCCACACTCCAAATGTAAAATGCCACATAAGCTTCAGTGTAGCTGGGTAGTGACTCTCTTTTTCATTTCAGAAGCATGTAGAAAATTAAATGTTTACTATCTTTATAATTATAATTTAGGAATATGTTATAAAAGAAGAAAAAGCCTTTTTTCAATCTATATTCAACTTTCAAAATAGATATTAGCAAAATGAAAGAGGCTAAGAAACATAGAAACATTATTGAAAAATAACATTACTTTAGAACTAATGTTTAAAGACAGTTTATGTAGGTATGGGTTGAGTTGGTTTTGTTGGGAAAATCTGGTGGAAAATGATAATGGAACAGACAGAAAAAATTTGAAAATATACAGATTATGTCATTATGTCATATGTATTATAGATAATAATTTGAAAAAAAAACAAATAAGCTGTAAAAATAGTATTTCTTTGTTTCCTTACTTAAATAAGGAGATTTATGTGCATTCTTATTCTCAGTATGTGTATATTCTATTCATTGACAGGGTCTTCCAGGTCCCTTGGGCCCTCCAGGTCCTGCAGGTCCTACTGGAGAAAAGGTAAGTCACAAGTCGTTATTTTGTGCACTCAAAAGCATAAGAGGGAAATCAGTAGGATAGAGGAATGGAGGAAGAGAGGGAAAGGGGAGGTATTTTAGGAGTGAAATTGATCAGCTTATGTTATGTAGATGTACAAATATGCCACATGAAACCCACTATTCTGAATAATTATTATGTATCAATTTTTTAAAATGTCTGAACGCTGGCTCTTTCATAAAATTTTGAGGTAGAAGATCTCATAATTGTCACCCACTATCCACCAATTCATGTTGCCCAACATTCTACAATTGTATTATGTTTTACCTTGGACAATAACTGTTGAAAATCTGCTTTTTAGGGGGAACCTGGACCTCGAGGTTTAGTTGGCCCTCCTGGCTCCCGTGGCAATCCTGTAAGTGACAATATTTTGATGTTTTTTAGTGTATGATTGAGCAATAAAACAACTTATCAATTGCTATCTATCAGCCATCTACCTACATATGCTTATAGTGATGTCCATGCCTACTGATTTAGGCTATTTATAACTTCCTCGTTTTGTTTTCAACCTTTACTTTTCTAATTAAACTTTAAAAATTTATGAGCTACCCAATCTAGTAAGTCTAGGTAGGTAGTTTGTTTACTAAATAAGAAAGTTTGAGACTTCTATGTTCAGAATTTTGTTCTATGACCTCTGTCTTTTTGTATTACCCTTAAGGATCTTCCTCTAGCAATGTATAATTTCTTTATATATATATGCTTCAAAGTACACTGAATTTATTACACCCTATTTAAAAATATTGTACTTATTTAGAATATGTGTGGAGATTCAGTAATCTTTTTCTTCTTTTAGGGTTCGCGTGGTGAAAATGGCCCAACTGGGGCTGTTGGTTTTGCTGGACCCCAGGTATAATTTTCAAATATCCTCAATTTATAAGTTGACACTCCTCTGGTTATAGCAATGAGTTAAAATGTCATTGTCATATTTTTGAAGGTATATTAAAGTTCTGGGAAGTATATGGTTTTGTTAACATTGATTCCCATTTTCAATACAGCTTTTCATAAGCTGGCACAAAAATTGAGTTTGTCACATCTGAGTTTGCTTATGTAACTATAATTTTAATAATTTATAGTTTTTTAAAACTGTCTTCAAAGATCTCATCAGGGTTTTGATTTTTGTCCTGTACTTTAATATTGTATGCAAAGCTTTATTTCATAATATATAACTAATTTTAGTAGCAATTAATATTAAATATTTTGTCCATAAATCTGTTGCTCCTTTGTACAATTGCATATAGGGTCCTGATGGGCAGCCTGGAGTAAAAGGTGAACCTGGAGAGCCAGGGCAGAAAGGAGATGCTGGATCTCCTGGACCACAAGGGCTAGCAGGATCCCCTGGCCCTCATGTGAGTTAAAAACAACAACAACAACAACAACTTATAACTTGAGTCCAATACTCAGTGTTTGGTATGTATATTAAACTAATTGTGCTTTACTGCAGTACTTTTTATTTTCTTTCCAATTTAGGGACCTAATGGTGTTCCTGGACTAAAAGGTGGACGAGGAACTCAGGGTCCACCTGTAAGTTATTTTGATATTCTAGGAATTATGTACAGCTAGTTCAGTTATCTAGTACTTCTTGGCCATATAAAAGTTAGTCTCCATCTGAAACTGTAATAAGTTATTTTATGTATCAGCTATTTTGTAGAGCAAAGGGTATTTGACTAAGATGGAGATCTAGGTTAAAATAAATTTTGTAATCTTGGAGACCCAACTGCTTCATGTGTAAACATAAATAATTTATTACCCAAGTAAAGGGGTAAATGAATAATGTGAAAGCACTTAATAAAATTTGATTATAGAAAATATTTATGTGTTTTTTACCCTACCTATGTAAGTTCAAGATAAATGAAAAGTTGAAAGAAAAAAAATAGGACCCTACCCACCAATTAATCTATTTCTCAAAAATGTATAATACATGAGAAGAAAAAATATATGATCACAACATGGAAGGGAATCTAAAGATTGAAGTCTTCCTTGAAAAAAAAACAGATCTCAGGAAAATATGTATAATTAAATAATATTATTTAATATTTGATCATATAATATTATTTCTTAGGGTGCTACAGGATTTCCTGGTTCTGCTGGCAGAGTTGGACCTCCAGGCCCTGCTGTAAGTTAAATTAGTGATTCAAGTCATTGGTAGTTAAGTAATTACATATAGACACTTGATATATCTGAGATATTATTTTTATTTAATTCCTTACTGGCTTGTTTGCTAGTTTAATGCAAACAATTCCTACTGGTGTTTCACCAAAGCAAATTTATATTTAATAATCCAATATTTATTGGAGGGACTTATTTGTGAGTCATTTTTAGCTCTAAAGTTTCATGATTATTAGAGTACTAAGTACTAATAGTATTATGTACTTATCATCATTTTCTTTAGTCCAGAAACATCTATGAAACTTTGTAATAAATGTTATTCTGTCATTATAAGATCAGGTTAGACAGAATAAAATATTAAATATTCATAATTAGAACAGAGACTTAAGTTTGAAAAAAATTTCAAAATAATTTTACCACTCTTTTAATAATGATTCAAAGGAACTTGTCTGCAAATGATATTTAGATTTTCTCATGGGAAATGAATGTACAGCTGTGCTTTCTTTGTTTTCTCTTTTATTTAAATATGCTCAGTGATCAACAGGAAAAATGAATCTAAAAGGCTCAGCCATCTGCATTTGAGGCAGAGCCCACTGAATCAAGCCTTCTTACTGGGCTTCCACTCTGCCCTCCTGGGTGTTCCTTTCTGTATTATACTAGGGAGCTCCAGGACCTGCAGGGCCCATAGGGGAACCAGGGAAGGAAGGACCTCCAGGTCTTCGCGGGGATCCTGGCTCTCATGGACGAGTGGGAGATCGAGGACCAGCTGGCCCACCCGGTGGCCCAGGAGATAAAGGGGACCCAGGAGAAGATGGCCAGTCTGTAAGTTCAGAATCTTTGTTTCAGACCCCCTCCTGTTGAGATATTGCAAATAGAAACCCATAATAATCATGGTCACAAAGAAACTGCTTAAATATTATTCTGGACACATTTAAGTGCATTAAGCTCCATAGATGCTTAATTTAAAATCCTCTTCTCAAAAAGAAAGTATCTGCATAAATATAAAAAAAGTAATGTACATAGTTTTCAAAAACTAAATCAAAAATTATTTTTCATTTAAATTAAATACAGATACACATACACATATTTTTGCTCTAATAGCCAACTGCCTCCAAATATGAATGTGTTAGATACTGTTTCTTTACTTTTAAAATTTATTTTTGTCTTTTTAAAAGGAGAAAAAAAATGTTTTTTGAATAGTTCTCTCTTTTTTTCAATCAATATTCACAGTATTTTTCAAGGTCACTTTCATTTGATGTGCTATTTTCACCTTTAAATAGAGTTGGAGGCTCAGTGTGAATTATAATTTATGACTGCTCTTAAATAGACTGGTTTTGTGAGACAGAACTTTTTTCATACCCAGACCTATAAATCTATAATCAATCTATTGTAAATTTCCTGGATATGGATTTTACTCTGCAGAATTTTTAATTAGAATTTATTCTCAACATTAGGGTCCAGATGGTCCTCCTGGTCCAGCTGGCACAACTGGGCAAAGAGGGATTGTTGGCATGCCTGGGCAACGTGGAGAACGAGGCATGCCCGGCCTGCCCGGCCCAGCGGTGAGTAGCTGCAATCGACAGTATTTCATCTGATGTATGCAATTTAATTTGTGCAGAGAAAATTGATTTTTTTTCTTAATGAATAGAGTTAAACAGTCTTGAATCAACATAAATTCTGAGTTATCTTAAAAACCAGTTGATCTTAAATGTCAAATGCTTAACTACCTTTCAAAGTCTTTGAAAAATGTATTTGTTTAACCCTGGGACTAGAGAAGTAGCCAATAAGGAATTGGACTTTTTGTGACTCTTAAATCTTTCTTAAGATTAAAAGAGATCCATGGAGCTAGAGAAGGGGGATAATCTCCTGGTGAGTAGGTAGCATCTTTTTAAATAAACATGCTTAACAAAACATCCATATTTCACGGTAAATTACCAAAGAGAAGAAATAGTTGAGCTGAAGTAATATTAGAGGTGGATGTGGGTGAATTATCAAGAAGGACTCTGAAGACAATCCCCTGTTCCCTGGAGGGAGCTTAAGAATCTCATATTATTTGAAATATGGATGAAAATTTGATTCAATATTAGCTTTAAAGAGAGTGAATTTCACCACTGAAAGTTTACAATACTTGAGAAAAAAATTAATAATGTTTTTATATGGAATGTGGCTAGAGAAGTGTACTCCCAGGATCTTGGTACTGTGACATATCTGGGTAGAAATCTCAAACCAGTCAGTTAGAATTTAAGGGATATCTTATTGTTGTCAGAATTGAACCAAGGATCTGAAAGTAAAATTCCTTAGTAGTGAGACTAAATACAGTCTATATTGAGACTAAATACAGTCTATCTAAATACCAGAATACAATACTATATTGAGCAGACGAGGCAGGAGTGAAATAGATTGAGTTTATGTTACTAGTGATGCAGATTCTAGAAGGGCAGCCAGAATTAACTACATGTGATTCAAACACAAAATGCACTACTAAGCTGGTGGGCAAAGAATGCCTTTTAGTTCCATTGGTATGTCAGGAGGAATGTGAGAAGAAGTGGGTATGTATCTAGGCATGCATTATAGTGATGCAAGTTATATAGGTTAACAGACAATTATTGCTGTAGAAGGAGGGACTATGACACCATTTCAATAAATGTGGTCTTTATAGGAATTGGAATTCTTCACTGGTTTTAGAGGTTGACATATTTATACAACAATTGCAGGGCACACCAGGAAAAGTAGGACCAACTGGTGCAACAGGAGATAAAGGTCCTCCTGGACCTGTGGGACCCCCTGGCTCAAATGGTCCCGTAGGTGAACCTGGACCAGAAGTAAGTGTCACAGTGAACATAGCTCTCCTTTGTTTTCTGGGTGTGATGGGGCAATTGTTTTATTAGAAATTGATTGCACACAGGACCTTAAGGAAGCTTGTCAGTGATGTTATTTGAAGTACTTCTCTAAAGAGTTGGCTAAATGATTGGATAAAGAAGAAGGGAACAAAAGCAATGTCTGTACTGACCTTCGTCTAGTCTGGAGCTGAGTGTTTTAGTTGATTTAGCTTTTGCCAAATTGTTTTCAAGGTGAAAGGACATAGCTATTCATTTTTCCCCTTGTTATTATTTCATTGTATAATGGGATTGCCAAGTTTTATGGTGATAGGATTAATATAGCTTCTACATCATGTAAAAAGGGCAAAGTAAGTAGAGATCACTCTACTCAAATATCACTATAAAGTGACACTATTGATGTCATGTTCCTTAGGCTCTTTTGAGATGAAATAAGTTTCAGACAGGCAACTTGAGTGTTAAGGTTGGAATATCTGTTCAGTACTTTACTGAGTGACTTGTCAGTCACATTTTCTTGAAAGAAATCATCAATAGTTTTTTGAGCTATTTTAAAAAATCAAATAACAAAACTATGGTCCTGACAAAATCAAAATATATAAGGGACAGTAAACTAGATGTTTTTAAATGCAATGTAGCATCAACTAAACAAGTCACTTGATTTTAAAACCTTAAGACTATTATTTGGATAAACTCCAAAAGTAACAAGAAAAATCATTCATTGGTAACACAAATAAACATACAACAGGAAAAATGTTATCGTTTGTTTATTTCAAGGTGTTTGAGAATTTCTTTTCCTTTTTAAAAATAAGAACTAGGCATGAACAATTTTAGATAAAGTAAGACTATGTTAATTTTACAAGCAATTCAAAGTATTAGAGAAAACTAGTAGAAGCTTTTTTTTTTCTACTGAGATTTCCATAAATGCTGGTTTATAGCTTAAAGAAGAGAGGTATAAGACATGCTGTCATTTTTCTGACAATTAGAATGAGATTTTTTTCACTACTGCTAATTGTTTTTTGTGTGTGATTGCTCATAGGGTCCAGCAGGTAACGATGGTACTCCAGGCCGGGATGGTGCTGTTGGAGAACATGTAAGAACAATTCATTAATTAAAGCAATCAAGACTCATATAAACCTGAAATCCTTCAAATTTTAGTATTACACTAAAAAAAACCCTTTATTCTCATAACTCCAATGCAGCTGTGATTTTTCTGATAGTAGAAACCTTTTTATAAGGTTATAATTTTGGAAAATCTTGTAAGTGAAGTGACATTTACATACATGGCAAATTAACATGGTATATTTAATTCAAAGCAGGAAAACAAATTACTTTCATCTTTGGTGCAATATAAAGACTTTGGGCAAGGAGACATATGGAGTGTTCTAAATACCAAACTGATTCAGTAAAGTATAAAAGCTGAAACAGAGCTGTGTGACATTTAGATTTCTCTACTCACCCCTTAAAGTGAATGACTTATGAGGATATAAACTTTCTAAGCATTATCTGTTACATGATTTATTTTAAAATTAGACATTGGCTGAACTGAAAGTCTCCTTGACTTTATCTGAAGCTCAGTCCCTTTTGGAAGTTGCATAATTGTTTTAGAATATTGGGCTACTGAAGGCAAAAAGCGCTCCTTACCCCAAAGTGTGTTATGATATAATGGTTTTTCACCCCAAGAGCTCCTCATTAGCAGAAAGGACTATGAACCCAGGCAGACCTAATATGGAGCCTTGATTCTGAAAGTAATTAGCTGTGTGATCTTGAGAAAAATTTCTGCATATTAAATATGATTAATATCTAGTCCATTAGGTACTTTTTTGCTAAATAACACATTTAAAAAACTTGCACAGGGTCAGCACTCAAGAATGTCCTCATGTTGAAAAAATGGGGAAGATAGAGCTATGGGAAACCTTGGGCTAAGACTCCCTTTATCTATCATAACTTCTAGAACTGCATATTCTCTTCACTTCGGTAGCTTCTCCCTTTGTCAGTACATACATGTAGTATAGGAACCTTTAAAGATCTTACTGCTGTACTTATTAAAATAATTTTGAAAGTCTATAAGCCCCTATGTATATTTTAAGTTGCTGTCCCCCGCCCAACCATTATTAAATCACAAGTTTAAATAGTTGCAGTGGAGATAATTCCTGGTAAATTCTAAATGTACACTTGCTCTAAATGTATTTCTTTGAAATTCTTGTAGTTTCCGATTTAGCTTCTTCTATTTATTATGTGTCTGTTCTTTAACCTAATTGCCAAAGTTTATTTTGGTTGCTAAATTAATCAGTCAGATAAGACTTAATTTCTGTCAGAAAATAAAGTATAGCTCAGTTTTTCAAGTCAAATAATTATATTCCACATATGTTCATACTCAAATCATCTCACCTCTGACTTCTAGGAGGCATTATTGGGAGCCTTGTCATAACTGGGTCATCTGGGTATAGTAAGGAGCAGCCTCTTCTTTCCCAAATCCATCTTAGCTTTATTTTCAAATAAACAGTATATTCTGGAAACATCCGTTAGATTGGTGCCAAGAAGTATTCACTCTGAAACATTGCACCATAAGTTTGCAGATGGTTTGGTATTTGCTTTTCTTTCATAAAACGGGAGAAGGGTGACTATTAAAGAGGAACTGGGAAAGGATGCTCAAAATTCAATTTTCTGAAAGAAGTATGGTGTTGCAAATATGGAAGGTGGTTTCCCTAAAATTTTTCTTATTTTCACATTCTTTTGAAAGAGTATGTATTCAGGTGTCTAGACACTCCAGTTTGAAGACGGCTTGTTTAGAAAAGATGTTAAATTCTGGAAGTGACCTCTCCTATACTTCAGTGATCTTCTCTTGTGGGAGCAATAGGGCAGAGGTGAAGGGAGAGATGAAATCTGAGAGTGGGTAAAAATAATAAGAAATGTATTCTCTTCAATTTTATTTATTAATTAGTAAATACAAGTATAGTAATAAGTAAGAGTGTTTTAAGAGGCAAATATATTTTTTTCATATTGCGAAGAGCTCAAACACATGAAATACTATTATTTTAGAATAAATGTTCAAAGAATAATACCGTGACTACTCTTATCAGGGTGATCGTGGAGACCCTGGGCCTGCAGGTCTTCCAGGCTCTCAGGGTGCCCCTGGAACTCCTGGTCCTGTTGGTGCTCCAGGAGATGCAGGACAAAGAGGAGATCCGGTAAGAAGGCAGTCAATTTTTCACTGTCAGTTAAGCATTGTATTATAAACTTCATGTATACACAAAAGTAGTCATTCGTATGCTTTTGGTTCAGGACTCTGAACAAAGAATGATAAGAAGCCAATTAAGAATTAATATATATATTAGCCTTAAGATCATTTGATTTCAAATATGGGTTCAAAGATCCTAATACATTGGTTTTAATTATCTGAAAATGCTGTCTGTGATTTATAGGAAATGTAATAAGTATGCATCAGATTATGCAAGTAATGTCTTTTTGTAATCAACTAAGATATTCTTCACTTAGTGAAGTCAGTTAATAAAATTGCCTTTAAAAGTATTATTGGTGTTGGCACATTCTTACAGATGTTCACCAGACTCAATGGATTAGCCATAAGAGTGTACATAGACACATACAGGCACTGAACTGTAAACACATGTTTTTTGACATCCTGTGTCTATATATGTATGTTTTTAAATGCCAACTTGTGTGATATTTTTCTAGGGTTCTCGGGGTCCTATAGGACCACCAGGTAGAGCTGGAAAACGTGGTTTACATGTAAGTCCTTTGTTCTCTTAACAAATGCATGTTTTCTTACACAAAATATGCTTCCAAAGAAGAAGTATGATTTAAGATTCAGAAATGGGAGGGATGGAGAAATGCTATTCAATGGGTACTAAGTGATAGTTGGAAAGAAACAAGAAGTTCTGATGTGCTGTTGAACAGTGGGCTGAGTGTAGATAAAAATAATGTGCTGCACATTTCACAAAGTAGAAGAATGGATTTTAGTTTTTACCATAAAGAAATATAAGTGTTTGAGGAGATGGATATATTTTTCCTCATTTAGACATTACATCATATGTGCATGTATCAAAACATCACATTAGTACCTCATTAATAATTGTTTCAATTATCAATGAAGACTAGAATCACAGTTTTCTCCCAGAATAATAGGTACAATAATGTATTGTTCTCCAAGATGTTCTAAAAATCATATAGGACAGCAAATCTGCAATCTCTTTGTATTCTTGAAAAGCACTATTTAAATATGTTTTATTTTCAACTTTACTGTCTTTGGATGGTTTCCAATCTTTATGCTGTTTGCTTTTGGCTGATTTTTAATTATTATTATATAGATGTTCTATTGTTTTATGTTTATACTTATGGTGGTCTAATAGATCATATTTCTTATACTCATACATCAATTTCTATATTCATGAAAAACAATTATATCCATAAAACCATGGTCATATTTTTTATATTATGACTCTCCACTTTGATTTGAGCTTGACTGGCAAAAGATTTCATAGTAGCACTACCTGTCAAATAAATGGTTTTCTAACCAGTGACAGAAACACTATAGCTTTATTTTTCATGAAAAAAATGAATTTTAATTAATTTAAATAAATGTTTTCTGTTTTAGTTCATTCTCAACTATGAAATTTTTGGGCAACTTCAAAATTAAAGAACCTTTATAATATTATAAAAACATTCAGACTAATTTTGATGTTCACCTTTGTAAAATATGTGAAAGCTACTAAAATTGTTTTGATTTTATTATAAAAAGGCTGACAACTAGGTATTCCAAATTAACAACCAAATGCAAAATAAAACCAAAGAAACCAATAAGGGAAAACATTAACCTGAGAACCAGTGGATTTGATGATTCCATCCATCTTCCAAAGGCAGATTAATGGGGTTCCAGTTCTGTTTTAGGAGAACTCTAAAGACAGCAGAAGCTGACTTCATATTGGGGAACACCATGCCACTTGTCACTTTACTGTGAACCGTTGAACCCTTAGAATTGTTTTTATTTCTTAGAACCTAAAACAACAACTGACTACCTCAAATCAATGAGAGAATTTTCACCTCTTCTGAGGTTGCAGTTCCTATGACAAAATAAGATTCCTCATTTTTCTTTTGTTTTTTAGGACCAGAAATTCAGGATCTGGGTACAGATATTATAGTTGAAAATGAGAATAACATTATTTTTTTGTATTTTCTTTAGAAAAGGGTAGTTTATTGATGATACTTTGATTTTATTTGCTCAAATATTTACCCCTTTCTTAATATAATCACAGCTGACATTTAGTTTATTTGCATATGCAAATTTCTTTTTCTTTTTTGGGAAGGTGGTGGGTAGCCAAGGATTGAACTCAGAGGCACCCAACCTCTGAGCCACATCCCCAGCCCTATTTTGTTTTTTTATTTAAAGACAGGGTCTCACTGAGTTGCTTAGTGCCTTGCTTTTGCTGAGGCTGGCTTTGAACTCAGAGTCCTCCTGCCTCAGCCTCCCAAGCCTCTGGGATTACAGGTGTGTGCCACCATGCCTGACTGTGTATGCAAATTTAATGAACATTTCATTCTTAGAGGAAGCATGGCAAATAAAAAAAAAAGTACTTTGAGGTTTTTTGTTTCAAAGAATCTATTTACAGGGAAATATTTTTACATTATGATATCTGATAAATAAGTGAAATGTAATTTTTTGAAAATCTTTCAAATAGGTTAGATCAAAGTTAAAAATATCTTATTTAAATATAAATTAATTTTTATGCTTAAAAAGGATAACCATTTAAAAACTGAATCTTTAGGAAAGCATAACTGATCACCTACAATTCTTTGGAAATAACAGACAAAAATCCTATGGCTCTTTAGATAAGTAAAGATGTTCATTCTTATAAGATATAGTATTAAAAGTTATGGTAAATGCAGTTGTCAAAAGTAGAATTTTCGGCTGGAGTTGTGGCTCAGAGTTAGAGCACTTGCTTTTGGTACTTGCTTAGCATGTGTGAGGTACTGGGTTCGGTACTCAGCACCACATTAAAAAAATAAAATAAAGGTATCGTGTCAACCTACAACTAAAATATAAATGTTTTTTTAAAAAAGTAAAATTGCAGAAAATTGTAGTATCAAGACATAACATCCATGCCATCACTGTATTTCTAGGGACCTCAAGGACCCCGTGGTGACAAAGGTGATAGTGGAGACCGAGGTGACCGGGGTCAGAAGGGCCACAGAGGCTTCACTGGTCTTCAGGGTCTCCCTGGCCCTCCTGTAAGTTATTCTTTATGTTTATCTGCTGTTAACACAGAAGAATTTTTTAAAATCTCATTTTAATTTCAAAATTACCTATTATACAATATAATTGTCCACATATAAGCTATAATTTTGTAGGGTAGATATGAAACAAAATGTTACTTGCATTTTACTCCTATGGATAGTTGTCTTTAATAGTGACCATCTCCTAGAAACATTGTAGAGATAGATGACTTAGTAGTTGATACTGCTAAAGTCAATGACAACATATTTTAAAACTGACAATGGCATAATGTAAGATCTAAATATTTGAACAACATTTTCAATTTTATTCCTGTTTAGGGTCCAAATGGTGAACAAGGTAGTGCTGGAATCCCTGGTCCATTTGGCCCAAGAGTAAGTAGCAAAAGTAAATAAGTTGCAGGTACAAATAATAACACCTTTGGTGACATAACACAAATGTTTCAGTTTCATTTTCATGATATTAAAACTGGAGTTGGTTCATGTTCTCTGAAGGTGGCATCAATTATATGAGACAAACCAGCCAGCAATTAATCTAAGTAGGAATATCCTCTAATAATATGGACCCACTTTGGAATCTCTGACCTAGGATTTGTAGATATTCATCTACTCATTTCTTGCTTTATGTTAATTTAAATTTCCATTAAGCTTGGACCTACTCATGAAGTGGAGACAAATTTTGAAGCTGGATGTATTTTGTCCTTTAAGTAATTATGATAGTATTATGATAGTTCCTTAGAAATGGTTTGTGTGCAGCTAATTTGGAAGCAAATCATAAAATGAAACCAATATTTGAAGCTTTTAGAAAGTCTACATTCATATTAATGCTTCCTGTAATAAATTATTAATGTAATAATACAGTTGACACAATAATTATTTAGGTGAATAGAAAAAGGAGTCTAGGAAAAAAATTAGAAAAATTAATTAACAATGAATCTTACTATGTCTAAATACATTGTAAATAAATCATGGATAAAATTGAAATAATAGTATAAAATTACTCTGTTTCTACAGGATAAGCACCCCATATTAATTTATATCTAACCCCTCCAACTTTAGTCATTTTCTTATTCTGAATTAATTGAATTCCGAACTAAATTTATTTGAGATTTGATGAAACAATTGTTGCCAATAAAAGTAGATGATTAGTCTATTAAAGACTTTACACTGATCTTTTACAATGCATGGATGAAGGAAAATTCATGTCTGATGAAATTGTAAATGCTGAAAAGTGCCAGAAGGTCATTTATCAGTCATTAAGAAAATGCATCTGAGAAATCATTGTAACAGCTCCATCAGCACAGTAGTTCTTGGATTAGAGAGGGGCATTGTAAAAAAAAAAAAATTTTTTTTCCACAGAATCTAAAATAGAGTCATTGTTTTCTTTCAGGGTCCTCCAGGCCCGGTTGGTCCTTTAGGCAAAGAAGGAAACCCTGGGCCACTTGGGCCAATCGGACCTCCTGGTGTTCGGGGCAGTGTAGGAGAAGCAGGACCAGAGGTAAAGTCATAGGGGTTTACACACAGGAAATGCTGTTGAGAAAAACAGCTTAGATTCCATCAAATAATGTCTGTGCAGCCTGTTGAACAAGAGACTTAAGGGGGCCCTGAAAACAAATTTCAAAGCCACATAAGAACTTGTTTATATAAGTAACTATTTCAAATATTTTAATATAGGTCATTTAGACCATAACCAGGCTTTGATAGAGATAACCAGGCTTTGATTTCATCTGATACTATGAAAGCAAATAGCAAGTTAAGATTATATTTATGTTGCTTTGCTTTAGATTACATATTTTAAGTATCTGTGGGATGTAGTTTGTATGTCATGAAAATGCTGGAAAATGAAGTATATGACTGAGATTTTTCTACATTGCAAATGACATTCAGAGAGAATTTTAATTAAAACCTTTCATTAAAAATTCTTATAGTTTTGGTTTGAGGAATATATATATATATATATATATATATATATATATATATATATATATA